TTTTAAAAAAAACAAGAGGTTAAAATTTGTCGCAGGTGTTTTTTTTCAAAACATAAAATCCAATTACAATATTTCTTCATCGATTGAAAATAGTTCAACCATCGCGATTTGTTTTTACTTATATATGTATATAATATCTAGTAGATTTTAAAATACTTAAGAAAAGAGAAAATCTTAAGGAGGTACCACCTATTATCGAATAAACAAGCAGTTTTTGGTAAAACTTGATACACTACTAAATAAAGCTTCTAAAATTCTGTAGTTAAATTTTTGAGACCTGTAGGTTCCGGAGAAAAAAGTTCTGATCGATTTATTTTTTCACTGTTTAACATTGATTCTCATGGGAATTCATTACTTTGTCACATATATTTTCATACTATGAAATATTAAACAAACAGATGTTGATCAAAGTTTGTATAGTTAAAGACAGATATGCAATGAACCGGTATTGTATTTAAAAAAGGACAATAGGTTCCTGTGAGAGTTCAAAATAGTTCATTTATAAATTTTTTTTCCACTTTTTGTGATACAGAAAAGATAACTTGAAACATCTGGCAACACGGCATTTCGCGTCTTCACGGTTTCCACCGTGCGCGTGCGCTTATCAAAGTTTTGAGGTTATGCGCGCTTTATTTCAAAAACAACAGTTGTTGACAACGTACATAACGTGAGTTGCAGTGTTGCGAGACGTTTCAAAATACCGAGCAAGTCAAATCAGACAAAAATGGTTATTGCTTTGACTAGTTCAGTGAAGGGATGGAACCTCCTTAATATTTATAGGTTTATTTTTCACTGATAATATAAAAAATAATACGGGACGTTCCACGTCAAGCGGATCAGTGCTCTGTACATAATTGTATTGAGTCAATTGTAACGTTTAAGGTCTCAAAATGTTCGTCGTGAAATACTTTTTCATTAAAAACATAGACTTTTAAAAAATTCAAAATGGCGGCCAAAATATGACACATTATATGTCTCAAAAATTGAAAATTTATAATTAAAACGTTAGAAAAGTAGCAAAATTTGTTTAAATTATCTCTAAATTAAGCACTAGTAATGTTAAAGTATTACAAAAAGAAAATATGTGGACAGTTTTTTAAAATTCGAAATGTCAGATTCAATATGTTGGAAAAAATTCAAAAATTGATTCAATTCGCTTGAAACTTGTTACTCGGGGGTTTTTAAGGTCGCTGAATACAAATTCTACGTCATTTTTACAAAATTTAAAATAGCATAGCCGATATAGCCAACATTTTTTAAAAAAATTATTGTATTTTAAAAAATTGTTGGCTATATCGGCTATGCCATTTTGAATTTTATATGAATGACGTAGGATTTGTATTCACCGACCCCAAAAATCCCCGAGTAACAAGTTTCAAGCGAATTGAATCAATTTTTGAATTTTTTCCAACATATTGAATCTGACATTTTGAATTTTGGAAAACTAACTTCAGATTCGTACTCAGCGAGCCTAAAAACCTCCGAGTAACAAGTTTCAATCGAATTCAATTAATTTTGCTTCCTCGTTGGAAGCTTTATAGTGATGACAATTTTCGAACTTCCTAAAATCTATTATTTTAATTAATTTTTAACTAATATAGTTATATTTCGACATGAGGAACAAATGTCCGGATGTATGGCACCGCTTCTTCTGTACAAATTATCTCGAACAAATGTTGACGGATCGCTCTGAAATTTTGCATGCTAATTCTACTTACTAATACCAAAAATCGGACACAAGGGTTTCCAAAAATATCTACACAATTTTTTTTGGGACCATTTTTTCAAAAAGTCAAAAATACATTTTTTTTATAAAAAAGCTTGTTATTATAAAAATTTCACTTTATTTATTTTGAAAACGTATTCTTTGCGTTAAAACGAATTTTTTAACCTATATTAAGTTCATGTTTTATCTAAATTTATAGATGAAATCATTATTTTTATTTTTTCAAAAAATTTCAATTTTTTGTTTTTGTTAAAATTTTTTTTCTTTTTTCTTAATAAAATTTTTTTAAAATTTTGTAAATGTAAATTAAATTAAATATTTTCTGCGAGGAAGCATAATGTTCGTGAAATGAACATCACATTTATTTAATATAAATGTTCACCCCTTCTTGTTTAAAAATTTTATACACCATGGAGGACGTAAGGGCAAAATGGGATAGCTAAGGTTTGAAGTTCAATTAAACTAACATTATTATATCAATATTTTATTATTTATTGCAATAATAATCTTTGAGAACCAGTCTTCAATTATACAGTCTTATTGTGAACATTTGTTACATAACAATATATAAAATTAATAAAATTTTAAAAAAGTCACATATCTCCATTTTGCCTTCTCTGGGGGCAAAATGGGATACCCTAAGAAGCAAGCTGGGGTTTACAAAAAAATCAACCTATTATTGCTTGCAATCTTCAAAAGTGAAGGTTGCATCTTAACCTTTTTTTCCAAAATGATTTGAGGGACAGAAAATATTTTTGCTGCTAAGTTGAAACCCACTTTTCGCCCACTGCATTTTCCATGGGGGCCATCCATAAATTACGTTGCACTATTTTTCACCATTTTCGACTCCCCCCCTCCCCTATGTTGCACATTTTGCATACATTAGCGCCATTTTTTCTATTGAATGTTGCAAATCCTTGACCCCCCCCTCCCCCTTCAAGCGCAACGTAATTTATGGATGGCCCCATGCTCTCTTCTGACAACGTCGGTGAAGTTCACAACGTTTATGATCAACGATTGAGAAGAGGAAATATTTTTCTATGCAAATTATTATTATTTTTGATCTACAAAATTTTTTGCAACGTTTCTTGATCAATAATTTTTTGAAAAAAAATTTGTAGTCAAAAAATAATTTATTTTTTTTTGAGTGAAAAATATATATATTTTTTTCAATCGTTGATCATGAACGTTGCAAACTTCACCGACATTTCTGACAAATTTTCTCTACTTGTCTTTATTTTATAATTTTTTTACCCTTCTACAAGAAAAATAAAACATTTATACAAAACTAATTAACTCTTGTACTTACAATAATATGCTTTTAATTATATGATAAAATAAACTCCATATCCCATTTTGCCCCCTCATGCGAAATGACACTAAAAAGTTAACCAATAAAAAGTATGATTCAACAAACAATTAATCAAATATTTACCTGTTAGAGTAGTCAGTGACACTTATGAAAAACAAAAAATGTTATATAAAATGCTGTTATTTACAAAATAAACACGTTCTGAACAAAATGGATAAGTTAGAAGAAAATCACTAAAAACAGTTTTTTTCATAAAACAACGTGGTAAAAAGAAAAAACGTGGTATAATCTTTCAATGTTTTTACCACCTGAAAACTGTCATATTGCTTCCACATTATGTGCAATACGACCATTATTGGTCCATTAATAAGTGAATAAAGGAAACTATCCCATTTTGCCCCTACGTCCCCTATATTAGATTTGCCATTTTGAATTTTGAAAAAAATGACCTCGGATTCGTATTCAGCGAGCCCGAAAACCCCCTAGCAAACAGGTTTCAAGCGAATTCAATCAATTTTTAAATTTTTCTGCCATATTTGATCTGCCTTTTTGAATTTTTTAAAACTGTCCACATATTTTCATTTTGTAATTAAGAGCACTGATCCGCTTGACGTGGAACATCCTTAGTATATTCAATTATAATCTGAAACGAGCCACCATATCCATCAAAAGCCAGAGAAATGACGATTTCAATATTTTTGTTTTATTTAATAGTAATCGATTTTCTGCTAACTTGAAATGCATTACCTATCATGTTCGTAGATAATAACTTTATTGTAAAAAAAATTTAAGTAATTTATATTTATTAATGTTTTTTTTTAATTTGGTCTAGAGGAATGACGACTCAGGTTGTAAATCGCTGAGTGCATCTCAATTTATACATATTTTTAATTTCGTAAATACCTATGGCTTGATGAAAAAATTTGTAAAAAATCATGAAGATCTTTTTTGAAGGTTACAGAACGGTAATTTTGAAACGGTCCATTGAAATCAAAATATATTAATTTTCATAGTGTTTTTCGACCAATTTATATAATTTACAGCTGCATATTACATAAAAAGTAATGTTTTGCTCACAGTTAAATTGTGACTTAAAAACCGGGAGAAATCGATCATTTTTACCGGTAGAAAACCGGGAGACAAAAAGTGTAAAAATAGTGGCCACCCTGAAACCAAAATAATGCATAATAAACAAAAATAGATTTTTTGAATGGAAAACATAAAGCACTGATTAGACCCATATTGATACTTACCCACTTGGAAAGATTCCCCGGAAAGTGCCCCCTGGAGGTTCTATCAGAATTCCGACGGAATTAAGACTAAAAATTTTGAAAAAAATTAATCGGAATTCCGTCGGAAACCCATCGGAAATTCTTTGGAACTCCGATGGAATTCCGACGGAATTACGTTGGAAGTTCCGGCGGAATTCTGATAGAACCTCCAGGGGGCACTTTCCAGGGAATCTTTCCAAGTGGGTAAATTACTGAATATCTATTAAAAAATATCTGTATTAAATTTTTTAATTTCTAGATCCTTAAGATTATGTTAGACGACCTTGAATTTTTCCATTGCACTCCCGCATGTAAAAATTCGTGAATGTGCAACATACCAATTTTTTACTATACAGTATCTAGTAAATTTAGAAAATATTTAGAAAAATTATTTTCGTTCATTTTATCGTTGATTAAAACTTGAAGGACATTATATATATGAATCTGTAGTATACATGTAGGTATCGAATTATTACTTATATGTATATAGGTAACTTATATTAAAAACATGTATGTATATGGACATGGTAAATGTCAACTGAAACTTGGGCCTGACCACTTTAAGTGTTGATGTATCATTGATGGTGGGGGAGTTTGACGCTCCCTCCCCTGACACCCTTGTCCTTCCATATTTTTATATCAACATCTAGTGCATGTCAAGACACGGTTGTGTTTACAGTTTGCAGTAGGTTTCTTGTTTCCAGACACCGTTTTGTTCTTTTATTGTTACGCGATTTGCACCTTTTTTTCTTTTCCTTTTCTATACCATAACTACTACATAAATAACTCAGTGCGTGTGAACAGGGATCATCCCAACCTGTCTATTCCTATCGGCAACTATATCGGTGTCAATAAAGTAAGGAGAGGGAGGAAAAAAACGAACAATCTTTATGGACGTAGGATAAAAAAACAAAGAGGAAAAACGAGAGATTAAAAAATCGATTTTTTATAAGAAATTTTCACAGAAATGGCTTTATCTCGTTTATCAAATTTATATAGGGGTAGAAACTATACAAGCGTTTCTTATTAATCGTAGTTGATTAATTTTTAATTATTAATAATTAATTAATTAATTAATAATTACAAAAATTTAAATATATTTTAATACTTTACGTTGATATCTATCTCTTAATGCAAATTATTTCTCCATTAGGATGTATGGAATTTATTTTATTTTTAGAATTATTCGAAAATTCATACATTGTAATCAAAATTTTCATTAAATTAAAAGAAGTTTTTATAATGAGGAAAATGCAAATGTAATGATAACTTGGAGATTTTAAATTAATGGTATGTTTAGTTTTAGTTGAAAAAGTAATGAGACTACAAGAATCATTCATATGCGTGAGTAACATGAGTATAGTAAAGACTTTAAAGACCAAATCCCTAAAGACAATATTAGATTAGTTTTTTTCTTTTAATAAAAAAAATGGTTCAAAGCCCTTTTCGACAAATAAAACAAATATTAAAAGATTATTATTAAGTTAATTAAAATCGTTTTAATATGATAAAATAAATAATTTTGAATAAAATGACGAAAAAATAAAATGAAACTTACAAATAAAATTGAAGATTTATTATGTATTTTCAATTTAATAAATTATTTAGAATTTCAAAATTAAAATTATATATAGTTAAATTAAAACTATATATAAACATTATTTACACCTATAATTTTTCAGTAGAAAAATTTTTTTTGTACGAAAAAAGCATTTAATTTAATTATGTAGGTAAACAACCTTAAGTGGCACTTGTAATATTTATTTAAAATTCATTTCTTAAAAACTTTAAAAATTACAAGTAAAAATGGAACGAATACCAATGACTTTATTTTATCACACATTTTATTTAGCTCCTTGAAGTTTATCAGTGAAGGCCAACAATAAATAGTTTTACATACATTTACCATTTGTTTTGTACTAGTGCTTGTCTGTCTATACATAGTAGAATTGGAAACTGTTCACATCAATTCGGTTGATTAATGATGAAAAGAATAAAGGAATATTATAGAAAAAGTTTTTGGTGTAATTCTGATCAAGATGAAGAACTTCCAGAAATGGTATAAATTTTAAATTTCACTAAACATTCATTTTTTTAATTTTCTTTGAACATTTTAAAAAATATCTATATCTTTAAATTTGTCTTTAAAGGCTATATTTATTATGTATACTATATACATAAACAAATTACAATAAAACAATTTTGTATTTTAAACTTATTTATGTTTAACAAGAAAAAAGTTTTTGTTTTAAAAAACTCATTTTATTTAACTGCAAAATGTTTTAAAAGAAGAAATATTTCTTTGATTTAAAGAAATTCTGTTTAAATAAAGTAGGCTTTCTTTTTATCAAAAAGAAATTCTGTTAAAATTATACAATGAAAAAAAATTTAATTTGATTCAAATAATCAATTATTGAACCCAATTTGTTTAATTGTTTCTTAACAAAAGAGCTGAATGAACACCGAAAAAAATATTCTCAAATTTAGTATAATATACTTGGTATCTATTTTAGAATATTTTATATTTAAATTGAGTATGTAATATTCTTAAAATTAGAATATCAGTTTTAAAAATATTACATACTGAATTTAAGTATAAAATATTCTAAAATAGGTCCCAAGTATATTATACTAAATTTGATTTATAATCATCATTAATTTATAAGAATATTTCTTCAACCGAAAATATAATGTCTTTTTTGGGATTTGTAACATAAGCAAAAAAGTGTATGTACAGTGATGTTAGACAGGAAAATTCAGGTTAGGATTTTCTTCTCGTATCAATAATAAGTAGAGTATTGATGTGTTTTATTTAATACAATGAAGATAATGCCATTTCTTTACAATTGTTTCGAAATTGAAGAAGATAATCTGAGGCTTCTCCAATTCCGTTTCGGGGTAGTGCGCGATTTTAAAACTAGCGTGCCAGATAGAATATACTTATACATATATGTATATATAGATAGTATTCGCAAATGTAACGGTAGCAAAACCGATCGAACCCTAAAACGGTTCTAGGGTTTCTGAAGAAGCCACGTCGTGGCCCGTAGCAAAAGTTTCTCTTCAATTTGAGTATACTCAAACCTCTCGAATAGTTACAAGATGGATCATCATGTAGAAAAAATGAACCAAGGCGGTAGTTCACCGGATACACTGATTGGCCGATCTTCACCTGAAGAAGATCGAAAACGTCAAATGACAAGTTTCTCTGCTGAGAATCTTAATACTGCAGCAGCCACTGGAGAAAGTAGTTCAAGTTTAGAAACCATTGTTGGTGTTGGAATGGAGGCCAAGAAAAAGGGTAGATTCGGCTCATTGAAAAGCAGTTTTCGTAAAGAAGGTGGTTTATTTAAAATGAAGAAAAAAAAGAAGAAGCATTTTGAAGCAGAACCTTCCACTCAATATCCTCAGAGTGAACAGAGCACGAAAGGTTATAAGTCTTTCAAGTTGAAAATATTTTTTTATTTTTCCCTTCATTCTGCATTATATGTACAAATTGAATCATTTTAATTGTATACATTACGTTCTGGTTTTTTAATCAATTTTCTTCAATTGAGACTCCTGATCTTAAAAGGGCACACGCTCGAATTTGCATCACAAGTTTTGGCCTCTAGTGTTAAAATTTTGAAATTTTCAATATCAAACTCTAACGATAAGAAGTAACTGTTAAAATTTGATATTGAACAATTTCAAAATTTTAACTCCAGAGATGTGATGCAAATTCGAGCGTGTGCTCTTTTAAGATCCAGAACATCAATTATTTAATCTTGTTCGCAATTTTGTGTTTATTGCTTTGAGTGTGATAAATTTTAACGTTTAATGCTTATTTTATTATACATTTTAGTTATACACTGAGAAAAATATACAGCATTTCTGACAAAAGTATAAAAAATATTGTTTCAGAAACATATGATATGGAATTAATGATATTTAACAAATTCTATACCATATGATTCCGAATTAATAGTTTTTATGCCTTTGGCGGAAATGCTGTAGACTCAATAGCATATTTTTCTCAATGTAATGTTTAATTAATAGATCATACTCAATTTTATGTTACGTCCCTTTTTACATTTCTCCCCAGAACGTAATGAATTGTTCGAATGATTTTACTATTATCATCTGTTTATAAATATCTTTCCTCCTTCTCATCTTCCATGTTTGTAAAATTCAGTGGTTTCTTTAACTTTTACAAATATCATATCCTAATGAAAATTTTTTCATGTAAAAAACATAAAGAAAAAAACATTTTATAAAATTGTAATAAATAAACTAAAACCCTATGAAATTTGTAAAAATTAATGAAATACAAGATAATGAAATTGAAATTCATTTTCGATATTCAGCCGACATACAAATTAATGTCTCCCTCGTTCCTTTTCTTGCTTTTGCACCTCATTTGATCGATGATGATGATGAAGGCTCTCAGAAAATATTTCCAGACGATAAAAAGAACCAACAGCAACAAATTCAGCCTGAAGGCATTAGCAGTAAGGTGAAGCAAAAAAAACCAAGAAAAACGCATTCATTGGTACGAAAATTGAGTTTCAACAAGTTTGGAATGTCTCCGGAACCAGAGCCGAGACATACACCCGAGGGTGGTGATAGTAGTCGATCTTTGAGTCAATCGTCTCAAGAGTCAACGAGTCGCTTGGATAGTTCACCGACGATGACCCCAAGGAAGGAGTCAGATCATGAAAAGTGGTCAACATGGTCGTTACCAGGAGCGACACAGCAGAGGTCCACTGCAGTGAACGAGGACGAGGACGCTAAGAAGGTGGACGCAAGAAAGCAGAGAGAGGGCAAAAAAGGGGAAGAACAAGCCGCGATCCAGCAGAAATCTGAGAACTTGATCGAGAAACCTGTGAGCACTATCACTGTAGTGCAACGCAAGTCGCCATCGTTAACTATCAAAATCAGCAACTTACACGAGCGAACACTCAAATTACAGCAAAACGGTGAGAGAATTAAAAAAAACAAATTGGATCACATTATAGGTTTTGATCGAAAAATTAATTTTCTTATTTTATACAAGCAAATATTTTCGACATTATCACTTTCGTGTGATTATTTCGTGTTCTTTTATTGATTAATCGATCGATCATGCGGGACGAGTTGCTTTTATAGAATTTTTATTTAACTGAACTTTGATAAAACAGATTTTCTAATATATTGAATTTTCAAATAACACCATTTCAATTTAACAAAATTTATTTCTAGAAAAATTTTCTTAAAAAAGAATTTTTATTTATCAGAATTGTTCATTTATCGAATTTCTATTTATCCGAATATTCACTTAAAAGTATTTTTATTAACAGAATTTTCAATTCAAAGAATTTCTATATAACAAAATTCCTATTTAACAAAACTTTTATTAAATAAAATTTCTTTTTTATTTAATTTTTATTTAATTGAATTGTCCTGTGTGGAAAAGTGATGTGGGGGCCCTTATGGATCGCCCTCATGCCATGAGGGCTGCATATGGATGATCCATAGGGGCCCCTCATGGAAACGACATGCTCATCGATGAGGGCGCCCGCATGGGCGATCCATGAGGGTGCCCCTACGGGCGCCCTTATGGGCCCTCACGTTTGCCCTCATCTTGCCTCAAGTTTGCCATAATGTTTTTTAATCAATAATATTAATAATAAAAGTTAATTAATAATAAATAAGCTTAAATTATGAATAAATAACATATTTATTTAATAATTATTCAATTTTAAATTAAATTCTTACTCAAATTGAATTTATTAATTAACGTTCTAATTAATTAACTGTCGGATATAATTAAAAGTAATAATAAATTAATTAATTAAAAAATTAAAAAATATGTAATTTATGCATACTATTAACGGATATTTTCATTTTTCAATTAATTCATACATAGAATTAATGATTAAACGCAAACCTGAGAAATAAATAAATCTAACGCATGGGGGGAATCGAACCTACGACCTACGGACTATGAGTCTAACGCTTTACCAACTACGCTACGCACGCTACTTCAAAACGAATGCTAACTTCTTGATGCTATTTAAACTTCAAAAATACCTAACAAAGAAAAGTGCTTAACATCATTTAGTTAAAGTTAAGATATTAAATTATATTTTCCAATCAAATGCAATTTATAAAATATAATTAATTATATGCTTTATGATTATTATCATGAATCATCTCAGGTGAATTTTCAAAAAAGTGTAAATATATTTTTATTGAAAACGCGTTTTTCGTTGTTCTGAATCATTATAAACATTAATTTTTTGGTGATAAAAAAATATTTCATTTTTGGACTTAGAAAATTTTGCTAATCGATCATGAGGGCGATCCATGCGGGCCCCTGCGATGGCCCTCATCTATTTTGCCATAAGTGTGAGTGTTATTTTCAAAAAAGTGTAAATATATTTTTATTAAAAACGCGTTTTTCGTTGTTCTGAATCATTATAAACATTAATTTTTTGGTGATAAAAAAATATTTCATTTTTGGACTTAGAAAATTTTGCTAATCGATCATGAGGGCGATCCATGCGGGCCCCTGCGATGGCCCTCATCTATTTTGCCATAAGTGTGAGTGTTATTTTCAAAAAAGTGTAAATATATTTTTATTAAAAACGCGTTTTTCGTTGTTCTGAATCATTATAAACATTAATTTTTTGGTGATAAAAAAATATTTCATTTTTGGACTTAGAAAATTTTGCTAATCGATCATGAGGGCGATCCATGCGGGCCCCTGCGATGGCCCTCATCTATTTTGCCATAAGTGTGAGTGTTATTTTCAAAAAAGTGTAAATATATTTTTATTAAAAACGCGTTTTTCGTTGTTCTGAATCATTATAAACATTAATTTTTTGGTGATAAAAAAATATTTGATTTTTGGACTTAGAAAATTTTGCTAATCGATCATGAGGGCAATCCATGCGGGGCCCCTACGGTGCCCCTCATGGATTCGCCATATGGATCAGCCCTCATGGGCCCCCGCCGGGGGCCCCGAACTCTTGAGGACAAGATCGTGGCTTTTTCCACACGGGGTCATTTAACAGAAATTCTAATTAACTAAATTGTTAAGACAGAGATTTTCTATTTAACCGAAGTTTCACTTATCCGAATTTTCATTAGATAGAATAATTGTTAAAACGTCGAATTTCCATTTGATCGAACTTTCATATATCAGATCATCCACTTGGCAGAAACACTTCAGCGGGAGTTTTAAAATCAACCAATCACTATTTTTTTGATAATTTTTGATTGGTTGATTTTAAAACTCCTAATGAAATGTTTCTGCCAAGTGGATGATCTGATATATGAAAGTTCGATCAAATGGAAATTCGACGTTTTAACAATTATTCCATCTAATGAAAATTCGGATAAGTGAAACTTCGGTCAAATAAAGTATCGGTAAAATAGAAAATCTCTGTCTTAACAATTTAGTTAATTAGAATTTCTGTTAAATGACAATTCTACTAAATAAAAATTAGATTGTATAGAACTTTTTTGAATAAATCTTTTGTTAAATAAGCATTTTTTTATAAAGAAATTCTTTTAATTGAAAATTCTGTTAATAAAAATACTTTTAAGTGAATATTTGGATAAATAGAAATTCGACAAAAGAACAATTCTGATAAATAAAAAAATTTTTTTATGAAAATTTTATTAAATGGAAATTGTGTTATTTGAAAATTTGATGCATTAGAAAATCTGCTTTATCAAAGTTCAGTTAAATAAAAATTCTACAAAATTAGAATTGTTTTAAATAGAAATTTTTTCATATTAAAATTGGGCTCATTATAAAATCTACTTTTTTTAAATTCTACTAAATGTAAATTCGATAATTTTTAATTCGACACCACAAAAATTCAGGCAAGTCTAATTTGGGGAATATTCATGCGTCCCTACATACATATATGGAAAATGGTTCAAAATTGAAATGCTCAAATTTGCAAAAAGAAATTAATTTCTGACAGATATAACATCAAATATATTATTTGATTGACAAAATTCTTAAGTTCAAAAATGTCCCCTCAGTTTAGAACGTGAAAATGAACGGAATCTTTTTTCGTTTTTTTAATTAATAAACCTTGGTACATTTTACCAAAATTTAACCAAGCTTAAGAGTTTGTTAGAAAAGGATTACTAAGCATCATTGATAAAATGAAGTTTTAAATTTTTAGTTGTGGTTACATACTAAAAAAATGGTTATTTCAACTAAATTTTGAGGTCTTCTTTATCGTAAACTCGATCGTAAATTTCGTTATTATTCACAAGTAGCGAACACTAGTAAATTCTACATAGAAATAATAGGTATATTTAATCAATTCGATTACAAAAAAAAATGTTGGTATAAACCAATGTAGACCTAATTTTTACCTTGGTCTACCCAGATTTTAAAAAATTCATAACTCGAAAATTTGGGCACATATAAAAAAATATAAAATACGTATACAATTTTTTTCTGCAAAGAACAAAAAAAATTTAACCGATTTTAAAATGGCATAGATAAATTTCACGTGGAATTGTCCATATATACACCTTAATCTAAATTGAAGTACTTCTACTCATTTGAATAAGAAAATTTAACTTTCAAACCTTAATTCATGTATTAATTAAAATTTAGTTAATTAAGCCACAAAAAAATTAAGGCCATGTGATTGTTGTAATTCTACATGTTAGTGTTTTCCGTAGATTTTCTCGTAAAATATTTGATAGATTAAGCTGAAATTTTGTAAAGAACTCAAAAATAGTATATGAAATCGCAGTTATGTGGCAGAGTGTTAATATTTTATTCAGAATTTATTTTTTTTAAACTACATATTTCAGGAAAATTCAATAAGACGGCAATTAGGTTTTAGTCATTTCCTCACATAAATTTATTAAGAATACTATTCTTGACAAATTATTACTATACTCTGGCAGATGACAACATATTTACATGTGAAATTACAACAATTGCATGACCTTAACTAACAAATTACAGTTAATATCATTATATATCTTTCATTTTCCAATATTGTACATTTTAATTTTTTTTAAATATTAAAACTTGTGATAGATTTGTGGTCTTTTGTGACGTAAAAGGTTTTTTTTTTAAATAAAAATACACTGGAAACTCGATTCTGTGGTTGATATTTGCATGCATTTATAATAGAGACAGGGTAAAGAGATAAGACGGAAAAACGCATCTACGCAGTAAAGTATCTAGCGCGTGTGAAACTTTCACTTTTTAAACAAAATATTTGTATCGAATTTGTTTTTATATTTATTCTTTTGATAATATATCTATAATAAAGTATTTGTAAGTAAGCACAACATTTTCTTTCTATAGATAACTAAATTTTAAAAATTTTAATTCCTAATATAATTTTAACTAAGCCAAATTTTTAAATTCCAGAATTTTCATTTCATCGAATCTTTATTTATTTGAATTTTTATTTAATGCGCCAAAAGTTTAGAACGTTGAAATGAACGAATTTTTTTTGCAACTTCTTTAAGTACGAATTTTATTACAAAATATTGTTTTCAATATCTAAAAAGAAGTTATTAATTTAATAATTGTTTAATTTACTGTTTTATTTTACATTGACATCATAATTTTTAATAATTTATAGATTGAAAAAAATATTTCGTTCATTTGAACGTTCAGAACTTTTGGCTCATTCTACAAAAATGTGCTATTTTCAACAATTACATATTAAGCATTTTATGGTATACATACCAGATTTTTTGAAAAAAGAATATGAAAAAACATAGTAAAAATAACCTCAAGAAGGTTTGTCGCAACTTTTTACGAAAAAGAACTTAAAAGAAATCATACGGAAAGTAAGAATCATGTGTAAAAAATAATAAATATAAAAACATTTCCTTTAGTAGTAAAAAACAAGTTTTTTGTCACATTTTTGACATGTGACACACATGTGCTTTCCGTAGAGTATATTAGTTTATATAGAAGGGTTAGGTGAATATACGAAAAATAAGGCAAGGTCAGTAGATAACATGGTGGGTGAAAAGAGAAGAATGTGTTTTACAAAAAAAGGAGGGAGAAATTAGTCAATTAAATTTAAATATATGATACTTAAATACTCGACATCACTTCTAAAGTTTATGGAATTTTTTTTTAAATATAAAACATTTCTAGAATTTTCCGTTTGTTTAAATCTGTTTCTGTGTCTACAATTTTAACGTTATTTTGTGAGAAGTCAAAACAATGTTTTTGTTCTGTTCAATATTTACAAAGAGCGGTGGATTTACTTTTATTGGTTTCTTGATATTTATACGTTCATAAATTCTATTTTTTAGATATCTGAAAGTTTGTCTGATGTAACAGGAGTTACAGTTTTTACAATTTATTTTATATATTAAATTTGTTTTAAATATAAGCCAATAGGCCACAAAATTAAAAAAAAAAAAGTAAAAAACTTTTCTCTATTATCAAATAATAATTCTCTAAGTGTATTCACAAATGTAGGATAATCCTTTGAAAAGTCCAAATTTTCGCAATATTCGTTATAGCCTCTCCAACTTTCTAACTAATACAGAGTTATCATTATATGTAGTTGTTTTTTAAAAAAAAGTACTTTAAATAGTGGATTCGTTCTTCTAAGGCTTCGTGGAACAAAAGGTGTAATTTCGTTTTTTAACTCTGGACAACTTATGACACCATTGATTATTTACTGTTTTATTTGGAATAGAATTTTTAAAATTAAAAATTTTTATTTGTATTTAACTAACCCCCGAAAGAAACATTTCGGCTCAAATTTAAAAATTGGCCATTAAGAAATAATCAAGAAAATATATTTGGTTCGCGCCTAAAATCTTTCTTGTTTGGACAAAGAAAAATTCAATGTTTTAAGAAATGTATGTAGATATAAAATGATAATTCGTGTACATAAAAATTTGAATAAATTAAGATTCCATGGAATGGAAGTTTTGTCATTTAAAATTTTGGTTTAATTGAAATTCTGATAAATGAAAAATTAGGTTAAATTAGAATTCCATTAATGAAAATTAAGTTTTTTTCTTGCGAATATTTAAAAAAAATTATTTTTCAACCTTTTATGTTGGTAAAGTTCTCAACGTTTATGATCTGTTTTTTTCTTGGAAATATTTGCTAAATAATTCCTTTAAATTGTTGTCTGTTATAATTTTACAAAAAAAAAAACTTTTGGAAAAATTACAGAAAAAATTGTAAACAATTGTTTACATCTTACTCCAAACTTTAACAAATTTGATACGTCAAAGTATAATTAAAATCTTGTTCATATGATATAATAAAGATTATTTATCGACAATCTTTATAATAATGTTTTTTTAAAATTAATTTTATATAAATAATTAAAGTGTCACTCAACCTTGTGATCGATCGTTTATATAATACACTTTTTTGATATTTTTTATATGTATCCTAATAAAATTATTGCAGTTTGTTTTATATCTGTTATTAAATTCACTCTTTAAATTTGAGTCCTTAAAGATTAGTTGATTTATCTCTGGTTACAATTTATAGAAAAGTTGTTTACTATAAATGAGGGGTTTTACAAATCCTGATTTTAAAGTAATCAGTCATTAAAATCACTTTAACAAATCATAATAAGATTTAATCAGTCATTAAGTTTTAACCGGATTTCATAACATTGGCCTTAATTCTCAGAAAAATAATTTACTAATTTTTATTGATTCAAATGCTTTACAGAGTAATTCAAATTTGCAACAAATTTATTTATACTTCTATCAATCAATTTAAAAAAAATAAATTTGTGCAAAATTAGTAATAAATTAGGAAAACTTTATCATATTATTTTATATAGAAACTTTTCTTTAAATTCTCTTTTATCAATTAATAATGATTATATTTTATTATTTTTTTCATTATTTATAAAAATAAATTTTATTGTTCTATACAAGTAGAAAAATGTTTTATACACAAATTCGAAAATGAACAAATTTATAATTATTCCACTTGCCTATGTTTGTTAATTTTATGATGCATTTTGAAGACAAAATAAATTAGAAAACTGAATTATTTTTTTAGACAAATATACCTACATTGAAAAAAATTAACTGATTCAAATAATAAATTTACTTGACTATTGTCAAATAAATATTTACTTAAACCAAATAATTTTTGCGTTTGATTCAAATAATCTAACCAAAAATTCCACAAAAAACGGCTTTATTGACAATCAGATATTTAAGATTATAAAATTAATTTAATTTTCAAACCTAATTTACTATAACTCGCAATAATAAATAATAGTCAGTGACAAACATAGGCAATGTGGAGTATATTTTGGAACACAAGTACTACATCTTCCACTAAAAGAAACACGCCAGTATCGTCTCAATTACACGGTTCTCGCTTATCGTTCTTCCCCGGAACTCGGTTTTGCGTAGACCCTCCAAATCCGGAAAAGCACCTTCAGACGGTACCGGAAGTATTCTCGACAGTTCCCCGCCGCGCGATATCAGATCGACCGGATGAATCTTCTGCTCACGAGAGTCATGAGGTGTCCAAGAAGGCAAAACTCGCGATTAAATCTGAATCGGAATCCTGCCCTGCATCCGCCGCATCGAAGACGTCGCCGCTGGAGCCGCGTCGGAAATCACTTTTGGAGGAAAAACGTGCAATTTTCCAGCGGCGTCGCTTCGATTCATCATCGAGTACATCTGATGATACCATGATCGCTGTCACAGTAGACGAGGACACGACAAGAAGGAACCTCCTAGAACCAGAGCATCGTGAGCAGAAAAGTAGAAAGACAGCGAGACACATCAGCGTTCGTAAATTTGACACATTCTCAACATTCGAAGGTACATTCGACGAGGATACGGGCGTTGGATATCTAGCTGGCATCGAGGAGGACTATCGCGAAAGCTGCGAGAAGCAGGCTGACGATCTCGCCAATTTGCAAGAAGACATGGCACATGCCATCTCCGAAAACCCTGAGAAATCCAGATCCGTTAGCCAGGAGAGTGCGGTGAGACTTTTATATTTTACCGCACTTGCACTTAAATTATGTTTGTTGCACCTTTATTATTTTAATCTTATTGCTATGATAAGTACAACTCACAAAAAATTACACTGGTCGACGAATTTTGCACTTTCTTTTGGCACACAAGAGCAAACGTTGATGATTCTTATAGGATTTTTTCTGTAGATTACGAATCCGTCAATGAAACTTGTTCATCGCGTCTCAATTTTGAGAAAAATTGGGTCAAAGTATCCGAAAATGTCCTTTTTGGCACTTTCCGAAGCACTTTAAAAAATTAATACAACGTGATAAACAGCTCAAATAGGCCTTAATTGAAAACTTATACCTTCAACTTTCATCTCTAAAAGCAAAAACCTGTGTGGAAATATTAGAAAATTGTAGGGAACAACTTTTTACCTCGTCCGCACAACAAGTTCAATATGGAGAGCAAATTTTTGGAAAATTAATGGATTTTTTTAAAATTTTGTATCTAATAGGGGTTTTTAAGACCGCAGATTACGATTTTTTAGTTAGTTTTTAAAAATTCAAAATGGCAGATCTAGTATCTCTTTAAAAACCCCTAGATATAAAATTTTAAGAAAATCAATTGAATTTTTTTTTCCAGTTGCTTTTGGAGATGAAAGTTCAAGATATAAGTTTTCTTTTAAGGCCTATTTGAGCAGTTATTCCTCCTTATTCTAGTCTTCTTGCAGTGAAATTTCACTGGTGAAATAGCTAGAAGTGGGTTACTGAATTATTAGTGAAATTTTCGCTGAAAATCAGTCATATATAACTGATTTCTAGTGAAAATTTCACTACATGATTCAGTAACCGACATCTAGTTATTGCACCAGTGAAATTTCACTGATTCAAATTGAGAGAGTAATCTAAGTTGATTGATCATTTCTGTTTACATATCACGGTAAAGATCGAGGCACTTTAAATTTTCTTCTGAATTTCCATTCTATTATGTCTCCAGAGTAATTTAAGACAAAAAAGAAAAAATCGTTAGACGCATTTTTAAGAAAATCGAGTTTTTGTATTTTTTATACAAAAATCACTGCTACTCAGCATATACTTCAACCCAAATGTCTGAACTCTTCAATTTTTCTGTAAATTTAATTACGATATTATTTCTTAGAGTAATTCAAAACCAAATGAAAAAAAGATTAATTATATTTATATATTTAGTAAGAACTTGATTTTTTAAATTATTCTTTGCTGACCATAATTTTTTTTCTTATTAATTATATAATTTCAATTCTTTTTTTTTTGTTTTAGTAATAATTATTGATTTGTTTGCTGAACTATAGAAATTAATATAAAATTGAAAACAGTAATTAACCCTCCTAGCACACACAGGGTCTGTGTGATTAAGAAATTTTAACAATTGGATTTCTTGTAACCTGAAAATAATTGTTTTCGGTTCTAGTAATTCCTTCCAAACCTCCCCGAATACAATGCTTCAGTTATTTTTCCCCTAGATGTCGTTAAAAAATAAAAATCACCTCTATTAACTGGCAAAAAACGCGTTTTTTAAAAATTTCAATATAGAATTTATTTGTGTTTTATTTTACCACTATTCGAGAACACACAAGTAAAATATTAGCTAAAAATATTAAAAATTAGAAGAACTACAATTTTTTATAAAATCGGGTAAGTCCGGGGGAGTTGGACAATTCAAATATTTTATAGAATTTGCTGCTAGGTATCGCTTATTAAAGATTAGTTCGCTTTATTTTGCGGCAAAACATAATTAAAAGAAAAAACTTGACGAAAAATATTGAAAAAGTAAGTAAAAAACTGATTTGTTATTTTGACTATAGTTCTGAAAAAAGTGATGAGTTTACGTTACTCACTGGTGTTATGTTATTTTATAGAATAATTTTGAATTTAATTTTTTTCTGTAAAGTACATGACCCAAGCTTTGTCATAAATTTATATTTATTCAAAAATTTTATTTATTTATTTAAATTTTAGTTGTGTCAATTTGTCTCCTGACATTAGGAGAGATGGCCATATTGTTTAAGTTATTGGCACCCTTGAGATTCGTGTGTTCGCTAAATAAACATTAATTCTGTAGCAAATTACATTTTTCATGACATATATTGCAACAAGACACTCCAACAAAGATTTTCAAATTTAAATATGATCAAATAAAATAATGACTATTGTGTAATTAAATCTTAAAAACGTTTATAAACAATCATAACACAGGTCTACAAAATAAGACTTTTTTATATATGTATATATCACAGTGGTTTTCAATGTATTTTTGTGTGCTGAACACGATCCCGGGTTCTAAAATTGCGTATGAAGTCAGGATTTTGAGTAAAGTGGAAGTAAAGTCTTCCAAATCCGTGTTTCTGAGTGTTTTCAGTATTTTTTTCTCTTTAACCTGACGTGCTAGAGACTTCTATCTAGGCTTAAATTGAAGTTTAAAACGTACATTTTAAAACCCATATGCGCATAATAAAAAAAATTTTGAAATTTTGATAAAATGTGGGTAATGACCCCAAAAATCTTTTTAAGTGACTTGAACCTAATTTTTTTCAAAATTTCAATTTTTTTTATCTTGTGCATACCTATGTGTCTTAAAGTGTAAGATATGAGCTTTAATTTAAGCCTATATAAAAGTCTCTATCACGTCAGGTTAAGAAAAAAAATACTGAAAACACTCAAAAACACAGTTCTTGGAGACTTTACCCCCACTTTACTCAAAAAAATTCCTTGTAGCCTTGTTGTGTCGGTGAGACAAACAGACAGACAGCGCTTATGAAAATTCCACTGAATTTAATCATAAATGTTCGAAATGTAGTCAGAACAAGAAAAAAGACTTCAATCTCTTTAAATCAAAAATTTTAATAAAGCGAAAAGCTAAAGATTGATTTTAAAGTATTGGGCATCTCTCCCGTACGCCTATGGCCATCTCCCCCGTACATTCCGGGAGAGATAGCCAAACGCGTTTTTTAAAAAATATTAATTTTAAGATTGTTTGCATTTAAAAAATGTCTCATTTCTATTATTTTTTGTAAGTTAAATGTTCAATGTTTAATTATCAATAAAAGTTAATACATAAATCACTTTCTTTTTATTTTTACAGACCTTTAAAAAAAACTATGGCCAACTCCCCCGGACTTACCCTATAATTTTTTTTGTTTTTCAAAAAAATTGTCGTTTAGCATTTTTTTTCTATAGCTAATAAAATATTTATAATGAAACTTTTCAAGTATGAAGACTTATTCTACAATGTTTAAAGAATATTACAAAAAAATTTAATGTCGATCTAATGAGAAGTACTTAAACGATAGAGTTTTGAAAAATATACAGGATCACAGTGACCCTGAGTGTGCTTCGTGTTCAAAAAAAGAGGTGTGTGCTCCGCTGATTAAATCAATTATTTTTTAATATTAACTATGATAAGATCATTCAGAATATTCTTCTTGACTATTACGCGCCATATTTGAATATATAACAGTCAACCAACTTATTTAAAAAGTAGTGACTTAAGCAAATAATAATATAAAAAATCAACTTTTCACTAAATATATATTCAATTAATCTTTTTTTCTTTTGGTTTTGAATTACTCAATGAAATAATATTGTAATTAAATTTATAAGAAAATATGATGAGCTCAGACTTTTGGGTTGAAGTTATTGCTTAGTAGCAGTGATTTTAGCGTAAAAAATACAAAAACTCGATTTTCTTAAAAATGCGTCTAACGATTTTTTTCTTTTTTGTCTTAAATTACTTAGAAGACATAATAGAATAGAAATTCGCAAGAAAATTTGAAGTGCCTCGACCTTTGGGTTGAACTTTTAGAAGTGTCAATTTTTTTCGGGCATTATTTAGAATCTAAAATTATTATATAACGTTAAAATTTAAAAAAAAATTATATTTTTAACCATTTTATTTAAAGAGAGAAAAAACTTGTTCCACTGATTGAAATAGTAGATTTTTACTAAAAATTAGGTAAAGTTAGAAATTTCTTATTAGGTTTGAGACTAACTTCATTATTTTTTAGTAGTTTGCTTGTAGTATTTATACATTTTTGCTATTCTCAATCTTGATTTTTGAAACTTTTATTTTGTATTTGCAGGAAAAAAATTATTGACTTACAAGATAAAAATTTTAAACTATTAATATTTGCTCATTTTATCAGTATGATATACCTATATTTTTTAAATTTCATCTTTTTTTATTTAAAATAACAATTCACTTGTTTTTACTAAGTGAATTTCATAAATATACTAATAAATTTTTATTTCTAAATGAGCCAAAAGTTTTGAACGTTCAAATGAACGAAATTTTTTTTGTATAACTTCTTTAAGTACGAATTTTATTACAAAATATTGTTTTAAATATCTCAAAAGAAGTTATTAATTTAATAATTGTTTAATTTACTGTTTTATTTTACATTGACATCATAATTTTTAATAATTTATAGATTGAAAAAAATATTTCGTTCATTTGAACGTTCAGAACTTTTGGCTCATTCTACAAAAATGTGCTATTTTCAACAATTATTTTTTAGTAAAAAAAAATATTAACACAATAGTAAATGAAAGGGTTCAAAACTTATCAGGGTTGCCACCAAAATTTTGTATTTTTCCCTGACATTTTCTTTTTTTCTATCAAATATAAATTCTATCAAAAATTGTATTAAATAAAATTTCGATCAAATAAAACATGGGTCAAATAAAAATTCTACAAATAATTCTGTAAAATTTGTTATTTTGTTATATAAATTTATAACAAATGAATAATGGAAATCTAGGTTTATATAACATTTTTACAGCACTTTTTATTAAATTTCCTGACAGTTCCCTGACTTATGGCAACCCTAAATTAATATATTTAGAAAAGTATTTTTCATTATTTGATTTACAATATTTGAAGATGTCAATTTTTTGATTAAATTTTTGAAGACAAATTTCAATTATTTAATTAAATAATTAAAAGTAAATTGAATAAAATTTGAAACAATTTTTTTGGAGTTAAAACTTTTTAAATATTTTCTGTCCTGTAAATTAATATGAGCTCAGAAATGTTACAATTTTTTTATCATTATAATAAATAATTTAATAAATTACTCGGTTCAGATTTAACTCAATATTGTTCTGTCATGATTTTAAATTATTCATAAAAAAATAATTGCATTCCAATGTTTTCACAATAAAGAATTTCGTAAAAATAGACATTTAAAAATCGCTAAAAAGCAACCTGAATAATTTAGTGTAAAATATTATTAATTATTAAATTAATATATTTAAAGCTATTAAAATAATCATCGCATGAAAGCGCAGTTACGTGTAATTTTATGAGATATTATAGAGATAATTATTAACTGTATTAGAGAATAAAAAAAAAATTTAATCTTCTCCACAGTATTATAATGAAAGTCAATGCAATGAAAGCGAATATCTATTAGGATAATTATTTGCGTAGTTGGAAAAATTTGCAAAAATGACCAATTATTGGCAACCGAAAAATATTCGTGAATCAGTGTATCCACTTTTATTATTCAATTGGATAACAGGTTTAGGTTTATGTGATTATCCAGTGGGAAATAAAAGAAATAAATTTTTTCTTATTCCTAATATTATAATTGGAATAATTTTTTGTTTGAATTTAATTTATTATGAATTTATCTCATGTTATGATTCCAAAAGAATAGCATTTGTGTTGCGTGCAATTATGTTTTCTTTTGAAACACTAGTTGCAATTTCAGCAATTTTTCATGGTTGGTACTGTCGTATGGTGAGTGATAATTTGTTTTTGACAAAAAATTAATTTTCTAATTTATTTAATGATAAAAAATTGATTTAGAAAAATTATGAACTTTAAAAATTATTATTTTTTTTGTATAAAAGAAAATGTATCGTCTAACGGAAAATATGGAAGCATTGAATGACAAATTTCAAGAATTGGGATTGAAGAAAAATTATTATAAGAGTTTTAAAAGAAATTTATTCTGGATAATTGTGTATTTCATTCTAAATTGTATGGCATATTTTGTTAATGCAAATATAACTGCTACAACAGTTAAGACAATGAAACATTCTTATATATGTACTATTATGCTTAATTGGTCATATTATACAGGGAATTCGGTTGATTTAAGTTGGACTTTTACTCTTAAGTATGTAAATATTTAAAAAAAATTTTATTTTTCATTATAATTGTAAATTATTTCTATTTTATCTTCTTTTTTTCTCATATTTTACAAAATAGATTCATTGAAAGGAAATTGGAATTTTTAAATATTCTTTTAATAAAGCGCTATGGTAAAAATTTAGAAAGACCAATTTTTGACGACTATGTAAATAGTCGTTTATTTATTTCAAATTCATCCACTAATTTGATAATGCAAATGTCAAAAGAGAGAAAGAAAAAATATTTGGAAATGATTAAGTAAGAGGAGGAAAATTAACAGTTTTTCAATCTCTTTATATTGAAGCATAATTTTTAATTTATGATTTTTTTAGGAACTTTCACTATATACTTTTTAATTTATCACAGGAGATAAATGAAATTTACAGTATTCATTTACTTTTACAAATGACGCTGAGTTTTTGTAGTTTAACATTATCGACTTTTGGTATAGTATTATATTATAGTCGTGAAAACTATTTTGAAGTTATTCATTTTTTGTTAAAAAGTTGTTTAACAATTTTGAGTTTCTTTCAAGTTGTTACACCATGTTCTGCTATCAATAAAGAGGTAAAAAAAATTTTTTTTCAATAAATTACAATTTAAAAATTTATTAATTTTATTGCAGACTGAAAAAATGAAATTAATTCTATCAGATATAAAAAATATGAGAAAAAATTTCTTATTAAAAGAAGAGGTAATATTTATAATTAATAATAATTTTTAATTTCCAAATCTGTATAAATTACTAATAATTATTTAATTTTATCAGATTGATAATTTCTATAATCAAATACTTCTACTGCCTTTAAAATTCACAACTTTTAGAATTAACACATTGGGAAACAAATTTATACTCCAGGTGAAAAAAAAATAAAATAAAATTTTAAACATTAGAAAATTATTAAAAAATATTTTTGTGCAGTTTTTAGGGGCTGTTGTCACATACGTGGTTATATTGCATCAATTTTATGTAAAGTAAAATTTCATTGCTTTGATATTGAGCATTGATATGATTAACGATATGATTTTTGGTAACGTGCTCTTTGGGCCACCAAATTTCTCTGACTCGCAACGTTTTCGATTAGCAAGGTTCGATCGTAATTAGGGGGGGGTATGGTATTTAATTTTTTTTTGCATCTATTTTTTTAAATGAATGTATAATATTTCAAGAATATTGTGTGATTATGAATTTGAAGTCAGATTTTAAAAATTGTCAAAATTTAAAATGGCGTTTTTCTTGAAATGACTTTTTTGAAGTCCTTGTTCACGATATCTCAAAATCTACTGAACCAATCGTTTTGAAATTTGGCACAGTTTTCAGCGAAAATCGGGTTTTTGGGTTTCATGTACTAAGAAAAATCGAGATTCACTGCCACTCGTTCAATTTGCAATATTTTTCAATGAGAATTTAGGAAAATATACTTCAAATATTGTATTAATATGTGGGAATTAAGTTAATAAAGTAACACACTCTGTATCACCAAAAAAAATTATTAAAAATGTGCCTTTTTTACACCGAATTAACCATATCCTCCCCCCTTTATTAAAATATCCTTCACTTCTTTTTTATTGGTCTCCTCAACATGTATTTTAAAAAATAATTATAATTAAAAAACTTTAGAAATTAATCGTCCTTCAGTTCAGACACATTTCTTTTTAACGATTAAATTTATTTATAATATAAATACCATGTCTCAAAATATGAGAATAAATTTAATAATCTGAAAATTGTAATTCCAGTACTTTTTATTAAATTTCCTGACTTGTGGCAACCCTGCTTATATAACATAATTTCAAAATTTTATAGTATCATTTTAAGAAGACGAAGAGTTAGAATGTTTGAAAAAAATTTAACTGATTGATTTAGGGCCAATTTAACCGCTCATGATTGGTCGGTTAGGGATTTAATCGTTAATTAACATTTAATCTGAGTTGGTGAAACTGGCCCTTAATAATTTTATTTATTTTTTTTATTAAAATTTCAGTTTAAAATGACTGGAAATTAGTATAAATTTTCACTAATTTGCATTAGTGGATGACTTTTTACTAATTCTGTTTTAGAAAGTTCATCCATAAAATACACAGAAAAAAAGCTTCATCTGGAACAGTGGTACGATCACTAGAATAGCTAGTCTTAACTGAAACAATTAAACCTTTCGCTGTTCCAGATGAAGCTTTTTTCCGTGTATGAATATAAAAATATGTACAATAAAAATGAATGTATCAACTTTACATTTATTTATTTTAATAATAATAAAAATTTATGGAATAATTGAGCATAGACATAAACTCAAAACTCAACTGTATCCCAATAGTTGACAGTATAAATTTTTTATTTTATGTAAATTGAGAATTTTCTATGAAAATTCACCTGATCGAAAACAGTGCCCGGTTTCAAATATTTGTTACGTACTGTTTAATGATGCATATACATATACATTGAGAGTTGATTTCTGATATGTGTAATGACTTTCACTTATACAGTATTGCAGAGGTCATTGTGCAGACAAGGCCAGTAGATGGTAACAAGAGTATTATATCGAGCACACTGATCATTTGGGTTATATGATCTAGACATTACTTGTCTATTTTAGTCCTCTGGTGGGAAAATGTTTGATTCAACCAACTATAGAGCTCGTTTTCTTGAACAAAAGTCTAGAGTGGTACTTTCAAAAAAAGTAAGAATCATGAGAATTCTATATGTCATAATATCCTTCAAAATTAATTATAATGCATTTTTGACAACACTCGGAGAAAATTGAGATTCTTTAAATAAAAAGATAGAATTCGATTTATTTTTTAATTGTAAAATTAGAAAAAATTGTTATTTTTAAATTCTTTAAAGCTTTCAGTATCAATTTTCTGCAAGCCGTATCAAATTTTAATCAATATACAAGTGTTTTTTTTCATACACGCGTGAGTTTGAAACATAAGCGCAGAGAGCTGTAAAATAGGACCCTTGGTAGACTTATTCCTTAATCCGAATCCTTTCCTATGAGTTTCCGGTATAGGGCACTTGCAGACTTGTAAGTCATCTTGGTCGCGGTGAAGATTATATATATTAAAAGCACGGCGCCATTTGACACGAACGGAAAATACCAAACACTGTTCATTCTCATTGCAGATTAAACTTACTTTCTTTTGACGATTCGATGAGACGCCTTTGACTTCTTAATGTTCTGGTATCATCGGACACTGCAATTGCGTTTAGCCAACGCTTGTGTCGGTACCAGATCATCAAGTGTGGCGCATTCCGTTTCCTTCCATTTTTTTTTTTTTTTTTTTTTTTCTCTTTAATAAAGTGAAGTGCTTTTAAGTGTTGGCCGTGAACTTGCGCAATGAACTTGGACGATAAAAAATGGCGAAGTTTGGCAACATTCGAATTTGCAAATTGGAAATTTGGAAATTCAAAGTGGAACTGGTTGGGGGTTGGTGTTTATAAAAATTATTATTCGCGTTAAGATGTTGCGAAATAAAAATTTTAATTATAATTGAATTTCTATAGGATTTATAAAATATATTTTTTAAATTAACATAAAACATACATATATTTAAATACTCTTTTTCAAAAAGTATTTCAGAAACGAGAAGAAAAAATTGTTGCTGATAATAAATTTATTGAAATTTAATTTTCAATTATAAAACCGATTAGTTCAATATAAAGTTCAACAACAGAAAATTCTTTATCAAAAGTTTATTTACCATGATAAGTAGTATAACAATTCTTTTTAGTTTTAAAAATATTTTCAGAATCGTATATTTATTACGTTACTCATTTTAACGAATTTTATTTTATTGACAATAAATTTTCCTATCAAAATTAGAAAAAAATATTTTTTTTGCATACAGAAAAAATTAACACGATATAGGAGTAATAATTATTCGACATCCAATGATTGACAGTTTTATGCGCATTATCGCAAAAAAAGGCAGAAAAATAGAAACATATTTTGTATTTTATTTATTTTATTACTCAATGATTTTAGTCAGAAAACTTGAGTTTGAATACTAAAATATTGATAATTGACAATTTATAAATTTAGGTTATTTGAATTTATTATTTTTCTTCTTGAGAGGTTTATTTTTTGAAATTATTCATTCTAAAATTAAATTTTTTTATTACTAGAGATACAATTGTAAAAAAATGGAGAAGAAAAATTGATTTTTCTTTGTATACAATCAAAGTTTTTCTTAGGATCTCAAATTGAGACCATAAAGTGTATCAAATTGTTGATAATGCAACGTTTTAATGCTGTATATGGTCTCAATTTGAGAGCCTCAGAAAACTGTGAATTCTTTTTGTTTATTCTTATAAAATTCTAATTATAGAAATTATAATGCCTTCCTATTTAAGGAGAATATAAAAATGTTTCATTGAAATATCTCCCATAAATAAATAAATTCCCTTTATAAATTAAAAAAGCATTTAATTAATCAATTTTATTTAATTTTTTTAAATCCTTAATTTCCAACATTTAACCATTTTTTTTCTCAAAAAATAATAAATATTTTCTTTTATTGAAAAACAGAGTTTTGAATAAAAAATGTAATGAATTTAATTAAAAAAATATATATTCTGAAAATTAATTTTAAAAACAAAAACTACTATTTTCAAAAACCACAAAAATCAATCGATTACTTTTAGTTATTAATAATTAATTATTTTTTATAATAAATAGATCAACTAATGAAAAATATCATTGTCAGTAATTGAAGAAAATGTAAAAACTTGTGGTATACTTATTTTTTTAATAATAAATCACATATCTCTTTTTTCCTGAAAAAAATAAATTTTTCCATCACTTTCTCAAGAAATTAGTGAAGATAAATTTTACACACTTTGTTAATGATAAGATTACTGATGCTTTTCACGATTGAAAAATATTAACTATTACTCATACTTGCTTTACGTATTATTATATAGAATTATAATTTTTAAAAATTTGATTTTTAAATTTATAATTAAGTTAAAGGTGGGTAATATTAATAAATCATTTTATATGAAAACAATTATTAGCCAATTTTTAGAATTTTTTATATTTAATTTTTTTTTTTTTTTTGTAAATGTTTTGGGAACTAAATAAGTATTTGTAAAAAAAATTTCGAATACACCTACAACTAGTTAAAAAAAACTAAATTAAAAAAAATATATATATTAGACATAATAATGGTGCATTAATATTTCTGTCTATAATAATTTTATTTGATGAAAATTATATATTAAAAAATATAAGTGATGACAAGGTGAAACTATAAGAAAGTGCGGAACATGTGATTAGATTACTGTTCTAAATTCGTCGTCAAATGGAATAATAACACCTGTCGGACACTAGTTAATTTACTTGAATAATTATCCTTGGCTTATAAAATTGTTTTGTTACTTTGACAATTGAAAAATAATTTTATTTAGTAATACCTTTTTCAAATGGTTATATATATATTCATTTTTGTGAAAATATATCACTCTTCTTTTTTTTTGTATAATATTCTATATTCATTGTTATTAGTTATATTTTTTATTTACTTACCTTCACCTACATTTTCTGTATTATTAGAATAAATATTTTTTTAACATTATTAAAACTACATAATGCTCAAAAGAAAATTTATTTTATTTAATTACCTATTGAATTTGATTACAATTAATTAAATCAACGTTCAATTAATTTATTTACATTAAACATTTTTGTCAATTTTCATTTAGATTTTTATTCCTTAGTGTTTATTAATTTATAACTTTGTATTATTAATAATTTGTACCTATAGTATTTCATGCTTTAAACGATTTTTTGTAATAATATTTATTATCATTTTCAAATTGTGTTTTTAATGTAAAATTTGCTTAATATTAATTATATTTTAAATTCTTATTGTTGCAGTCGTCGCAAAATAATGTGCCGAGTTCTGGATTGGGAGAGAAACGAGAACATTTGTACAAAATTTTGGTAATTGGAGAACTTGGCGCTGGAAAAACATCTATAATCAAAAGATATGTTCATCAATTTTTCTCACAACATTACAGAGCGACAATTGGTGTCGATTTTGCACTTAAAGTTCTTAATTGGGATCCACATACAATTATCAGATTACAATTATGGGATATCGCAGGTTTGTCTATAACTTTTTATAAATTCTATTTATTTTATTTACATTTTAATTTTTATTCTATCCATATTTGAAATTATATACTAATTCATTTTGATTATTATTATTATTGCAACAGAATTTTTAATTATTCTTGATGTCTTTTAATTATAATTACGCTTTTGTTTCTACTTTGTTCATTTTTAATTTATTAATTTGAATTATTTAATTGTGATTTAATCTTTCCAAACTTTTTCTTTATTTCTAACATATGAGTCAGTCAATCATAATAATTAATTATTTTACTTCGTTATATATTCTTCTATAATAATTAATTTTTTTTAAATATATTTTTCTACCAAATTAAATTAAAAAAAAAATACTTACAATTAGTGTCTATTCATATTCTTTTTTGATTTTACAAAAATATTTAAATATTGATAATAAAAAATTTATTTCGACTTTTTAGAGTGATTTCAAATAAATTATTGTCGTCATTGTTACATTTTATCAGGAATTTGACATCGTGATGTCTTAATGCATAAGGGAAAGTCGCTTCATTTCCTGACTCTTTGTTTAATCGTCTGAGACCGCGCCGCGCAGGAAAGTTAGCTTCTTTTCCATTCGTGAGAATTGGATCTCACACAATAGTCACCTTCTTGAATATTTTTCTCCTTCAGTGGCTGTAAAATATTTTTGTAATGTTTGAAGGACAATTTTTTTTTTAACAATATTTTCTTTACAGTCGTTTACAATTTTTGGAAGAAGTTCGTTATGAAATTTTATATTTTAATACATATTTTAATATTACAACTTAATGTCCACTAAATTAAATTTAATTGGTTACAAAAACTAGATATAAAAAAAATTAAAATAATTTAAATTAAATTTTTTAAACGATTAGAAATGTTAATGTAATGAAATCTGAATTAGTTAAAATTTTAACTGTAAATAAGTAATTGATTATTTTCTATATAAGTAAAACTGGTCAGTTTTCTTTATAGTTAAAAAAAATTTCCTTTACTTTAAGTGCTATATTTCCAATAAATAAAAAGTAGAATATTTTGCAAATATGTTTATTATTTTGAATATTTTTCCAACAGGACAAGAGAGATTTGGAAATATGACAAGGGTATATTACAAAGAAGCAGTTGGAGCATTTATTGTTTTCGATGTAACGAGAAGTGCAACATTAGAAGCTGTTGTAAAATGGAAACAGGATCTGGACTCTAAAGTTCAACTTCCTGATGGTTCGCCAATACCTTGTGTTCTTTTAGCGAATAAATGTGATCAACAAAAAGAGGGAATGGTTAATACTCCTGCAAAAATGGACGAATACTGCAAAGAGAAAAACTTTGCTGGATGGTTTGAAACATCGGCTAAAGAAAATATTAATATTGAAGAAGCTGCTCGATTCCTCGTCAATAAAGTAAGTTCTTTTGTTAACAATAAACACTGTCTTTAAAATAAATAATAAACAATTAATTTTCAAGCTAAAAAAAATTTAATGAAAAACAAATTTTTTGGTATATTTTTCATAATAACAAGAAATTAAGAAGAATTAAAATTAATTAAATAGTGTTTTATTAAAAATTTTTAATGACTAGTTCTCTTGAAGATATTTTTACTTTATTTTTGTCATTTTCCAATATTTTATAATTATTTGTGATTTTTATGCTCTTAATTTTAAATGAAATTTGTAAAATTCAATATTTCTAGTAGTTTTTCAAATACTTTATTATTAATACTGCCCTACAACGGAAAAAGATACATAAGCCACAAATAGGTCGAACGGAGATATTTGAGAAAAACCATTTGCATCAAAAACTTTATTTAGAATTCATTTTTTATGAATAAAAATATCCCTAATGGGGTAAATCGGATGTGCTCTTTCTATTTTTGCAAAAAAAATTAATTATTTAAACAATCCCTTTTAAAAAATGCACTTGCGTAGTTTTTTTAGTGCAAATGCAACGTAAAAAGAACACAAAATCGCTTGTGGTGTTTTTCGTTGTAAAGTCATCGAGCGGATCAAAGATGTCCAGCGAAGAATATACATAAGGGACAAGAGAGTATGGGATTAGAGTATGGCACTTGTGTATAGTCTCCACTGGACATCTTTGCTCCGCTCGATTATTTTACAAGCTAAGAAATACACAAGCGCGCTTGCGAATATCGTTCTGTAAACGAAGCCGAGCTCGGCCGCTTTTGCAACGGAAAAAGATCATAAGCTACCTCGTGTATATTCTTCCATTGTATTTTGTGACGTATTTCATGCCTCCTACAGAATTTAGGCAACGCAAAGTACCTCATGTGTCTTTTTCCGTTGTATTTTCTCATTTTTCGCGAATTGCAATATTTTCAATCTTAATTTTTTATTATAAATAATTAAAATTTTGAATTTTAATTACGATAGTCAGATGCAGCTTTTTATTACGAATCCATTGATACCAAAAACTCATTTTTGACCAAAATGTCACTTATGTATCTTTTTCCGTTGTAGGGCAGAATAGATTACAATGTTCATAATTTTATTTAAAAAAAATTTTTTTCTGAAAAAATTAAAATTATTCAAGATCCATTCGATTGATTGTTTAGAATCATGAAAAAGTGTAAGAAAAATTATCAATGAATAATAAAAATTATAAGAAAAAGAATTTTTCCAAAATTTTGAGTAAAAAATTGATTAACTTATAAATTTGTCTCTAATTTTTCAATTTTAATTTTTTAATTTTCAATAATGTGAGAAAATAAATTTAATCATTTATTAATTTAATTAAAAGATTAATGGAAGAAATTAATTTATTTGACATTTTTTATTATTTCATTTAGATACTCCAAAACGATCAAATTATAAAAGGTTCCGGATCTCAGGATCAAACTGATGGCGAGAGATTTGCTTTGAATCAATCTCCAACGAGTTCAAAAAAATCTTGCGCCTGCTGACGAAACTGTCTTGACAGTGAATTCTTTCTTCATCGCAAAACGTCCTTGTATTTTATTATTTGAAACTGTTTAATAAGCCGATATAATGAGCCACAACTAATTTGCATCTACTCAACGATTATAATTACACCATCCATGTACTTATGTATATATATTTATATATATATACACGCATCTAGGGTCAAATTAGAATATACGTTTGTATATGTAAACATATACTTACGTATTCTTCTCGGTACAAATAATTTACTTTCGTTTCATGTGCCAGTTAGTCATATTTAATTAATAAAAATATCAATTGTTACTGACCTATTTTTAAAAGAAAAATTCAAATAACTTTTTTTAAATTGAAATATTTTATATTTATATATAACAGCTGAAAAAGAAAAAAATCTACACAATTCCATTCAAAGGTGCCTTAAATTCTTTCAATATTGACTTTTTAATGTAATATTTATGCAAAAAAAAGTAAGTTTCAAATTCAAAAATAATCAACGGATTCTACATTTTAGATGTTTTTAATTAAGTACATTTGCGTGTAACATTCCATGTAATTTTTAAGAATATTTGTATATGTAAAATGAAGGATGGTGGTGGGTTAAGTAAGTGCCATTCGTCCGAGCATAATTTATAATCACGTGAAGATCAAGTCACGAAAAATTTTAATCACTTCCTGTATATTTATAACGAAGAAAGTTCCACTTCTTATACGACTGGCAATAATTCAAACTGAAATGTATATTTATTTACTTCTATATTATATAAGCGTGAAAATTATAGCATTTGAAAAATTCGGAAATTCGAATTTATTGCGACAAATTCACAACTGTTGAAAACGAATTCCAAAATTCAACATTTTTTTATAATTAAAAAAATGTTTTTTAATCATTTAAAAAAAGAATATGTTAATTAAAATTTTTATCTTACGTTTTTTTTTACTATTTACAATTTTATGTTTTTATTATATTCATATTTATTATTTTAATAGAAGGTTGAATTTATGACATTCCGATAAAAATAATTTATATAAATTCGTAAATCTGGATTTTCTTTGTCTGTTATGACTCTTTTAACTTGATATTAAGATAAATGACTTAAGGAGACTTATATTGTTAAGATTAACCTTTACATAATTATTAATTTGATTGTTCTTTCGACGATTAATTTTAAATTGAAAATCGAATCATTGTTAATAAAGAAAGCTTTTAGACTCGAGAAATATACGTATATATATTAAAACGCTGTATTATTATGTAAGATAGCGGAGTCTGTAAATAATTGAGACGTTTTATCTGTCTTTTTTTTTTCTCTCTCTCTCTCTCTCTCTTTCACTGATAAAAAGAAAAATTCCTGTAGAACATTTTCACTTTTATAAGCAGTATACGAAAACAGTGAAGTATTTAGAATGGTAGAATCCTGAGTGTATTTTGTTCCTTTAACTATATGCGGTCGACGTAATTTTACTCATTTGACATATTGTATAGGCGCAATATTAAATTATATTCAATTGTTACTTTATTGTCATTTTTTTCACTTTCGAACCTAGTTTTATTTTTTATACTTCAATATATAGGACGTGAATATATTTTTAACAAAAGGATCAATATAACTATAATATTAAGAATTAAAAATAAAATTTTGTTTTCTTTAGAAACTATTTTTTTAAAGAAGAAATAAGTACTAAAAGAAATAATTAAGTGAAATTATTCAAATATTTTAATTTTCTTTTTATTTTCTTGCAATATTAGAGAAATACATTAAATATATTCTTGATTTAGTAGACTTAGAATTACATTTTTTTTCTTTGACAATAGTTTCTGTCCTATTCCCAACTTTTCACTTTTCTGAATTTAATAAATAATAAATATTTTAATTATTAATAAACTGGTTCTTCTTGACTTCTGCGTAAAATTGCTAAAAATCCACCGAGATGACATACTGTAAAAATTGTCAAAAGTCCGATACAATCCAGATGATAGTGGCCGGTTATGTAACCATATTTATCCAATACGCCCAGACCAGTTGAAATACAAGGCTCATTTGGATCCGAAGGACAAGCTTTAATAAATGAAAAATAACATTTTATTCATTTATGAGTCATTCCGATATATTTCAAGGAAAAAATATTATTTTCATAGTAAGAGAAATTTGTAGTAAAAATAAATTTAGGAAATAAAAAAAGTGTAAAAATATTAGGCGAAATTTGATTTATAAACCTATTAAAAAGTATCGGAATTTTCTTAAAAATAGTCCACAATGACTTTGAATGGAAAATAATGGAAGGATCCTTATAAATAATTTTCATTTTTTGAATATTTAATATTCATTCCCTATTAAAAAATCAGTTTGTTATTTGAATTTAATTATTAAATTAAATTCTAAAAAAATGTTTAATTCGAAAAAATTCTGTAAATTAGGAATTCATGAATTTATTAATATTATAATTTTCAATATTTCTTACCGATATTATTAATTTCTCGCCATTGAGTTAAAGACACTGCTTCTGTGCCGTAATAAAATTGTGAAACATATTTTAACCACGTTAAATGTGCTGGCACACTTCTGTAAAATATTTTTAAACAATATTTAACATTTTTATATTAATATTAATAAATTTGCACTACTCAACCGTGTTACCTTAAAATACTTGATAGATTGAACTAAAATTTTATGGTAAAATTAAAAATAGTATGAGGAATCGCTTTTAAGTACCAGAGTGTACATGACAATGAATCAGTAACTATTTTTGAGTTCTCCATAAAATTTGAAATCAATCTGTCAAGTATTTGCTACTTGAAAATTTTCAAAAGACAAAATTTTGGGAAGAAACAAAATTTGTGCTAAGTAATTCTACAATTATCATTTTTCCTTAAAAGTTTTTTGAAACAGCTTTCGTTTTTTGATAATACGCATTTTTAAAAAAAATTAGTTTCAACATATTTTTTCTCAAAATATTAATTAAATTTGAATACTTTTTACGTCATTGTAGAAGCATAATTAGGCAATATAAATTTTTATCAAAAGTCCAAGTTTTTAAATGTTTTAAAAAAAATTGAACAGATTTATTTTTTTTGAAACAGCGTGAAATAGACTTGAATTATATTTTCAAATTTATTTATACTTTACCCTAGTTGAACATAAATCCCGCTAAATATAAGACCAATGAAGTCAATAGGAACTGCTAGTAATGATGCTGTTTCAAAGGATTTGAATGCAGATGACATAAGAAATCCTGTTACATAATTTATTTTTTATTATAATTATGTTCTTCTTAAGTTATAAAATTAAATAAAATTATTATTATTATCTCTAACTACTAATTATTATGTCTAATTTGATTTTAATAAAATTAAATTAAATTTATTTAGTTTTTACTAAAACTATTAGGGTCAGTTGGGGTAAATGGGGACAAGAGGTTTTGGAGCTTAATTTACAGTTTTAAAATGAAGTTCAACGTCAATATTTTAACCTCAAATCACCGGCAAGAGGTTTTGAGTATTGCCAAGCTTTTATCTTGACAATTGGCAGCAAGATAAAAAAGTTATCGCTCAATGCATAAAAACTTGAAAATCAAAGTCAACCTGTTTCAGTATTTTGTCGAGCATTTCAAAGAAAACAGACTTCAAAATCATACAACATTTTTTCTTATTCCTTATGACTCCCATAACAGAAATTCCCTTGAATTTTTGATTTTTGTCAATTTGGTTAATAATGACAAGCTGTCCCCATTTACCCTGAGTTTTCAAATTTTTGGGTTAAATGGGGACAGCTTGTCATTATTAACCAAATTGACAAAAATTAAAAATTCAAGTGAATTTCTGTTATGGGAGTCATAAGGAATAAGAAAAAATGTTGTATGATTTTTAAGTCTGTTTTTTTTCAAATGCGAGAAAAAATACTAAAATAAAAAAAAATAAAAAAATTTCAATTGGTTCAACTATTATATATCTACTACAAATTTTTTTCAAGTTTTTTCATCCCTTAATACAGTAATATACTTAAGGTAACTTTTTTCTTAAAACGTTCTTAGAAACTATGCTGTCCCCATTTACCTCAAATTTTATGAAATTTTCTAAATTTTGGGGTAAATGGGGACAGTCAGTTTCATGCGTTTAAAGTTTATCTAAATTTTTTTCTGCTGCATAAAATTAATCCTGGGAACATACAACTTAAAAAAAATAAACCCGCAAATATTACCTTTTAAAGGAAGAACCTTACGTAATTTGTGAAAAATAGCGATTTTGTCCCCATTTACCCCAACTGACCCTATTTTATTTTTATTTTAAATTATCATTTTATAAGAGATGGTAAATTAATTTAAACAAAAATACAGAAATAATAAATAATAAATTATTTACCGGTGGCGGATGCAGATATTGCACTGAGAGCAACAGGTATTGTGAAAAGTAGAAATCCAGAAAATCCACCATTCAGACCAACAACAACATAAATCAAAGTTGAATAAGCTAAAGTTTGAAATATTGTGCCTGGAATCTGTAAATTATAAAATATATAAAAAAATGTCTTCTAAAAATTATATAATATTCTATATAAAATATGTTTCTCTGCTTGAAAAATCAAAAAACATATTTTTAAAAATTTGCATATAATTTTTTTAACCATTTTTTTAAGGTTTTAATAAAAAATAACTTTTTTGTTTAAATTCAAATAATTTTCGTAATTTTTAAGCTTTTCAGTAGTTACTTGACAGGATTTTTTTTTAGTTTTTATATATTTTTTAACAATATTAATTAAATGTGAGAAATGTTGATAAACGATAACAATAATTTTATTTTTTGAAAAAAAAACACTTTTATATATATATGTATGTATTTATTAGAATTAATTAGCGTTTATAAATTCTGCTTCTATGAATATTCAAGAAAATAAATTTTAAAATAGAAATTCCAAAAATGACGAAGTTATTTTAAAAATAGCAAATTGAAAATAAATTTGTTTCTTCCAGAAAGGAAGAAATACCAAATGAAAATTTTTATGGTAAATCGTATCTATATTAATAAGTTTCTATAAATAATATTATATAACAGAAAAAAAATTTGGAGAACTAAAAGTTCCTTTTTTAAGAACATTTTTTTTTTGTTTGAAAACTTTTAGCTTAGGTATTTTCGACATTTAAAAACAATCTTAACTTTTGAAGATATTTTTAAAAATACAGTTAAAAGATGAAAAACTGATTCAAGAAACAACTAGAAATCTCAAAAATTGCGAAATTTAAAAGGTTTTAAAGAAAAATTTAAAAATAATCAATTTATTGTTATCGGACATTTTACTAATATTTTCCACTTTTCATATTATATTAATAAAGAAAAATTTTTTTACAAATAATCCTTAGAGCTGAAAAAAAATATTTTTTTAAAATTAAATAAGATCTAATTGCTTGCATAATTTGAAATGGATTTTGTTTGGTATAAAAAATGTTGAATAAAAAAAGAACATAATCATGAAATGACTCTTAAAATAATATTATTTGTAAAATTACCTACCGAGAAAACAACTTTGCTAAAATAATAAGGAGCAGGATTATAAAGACCACTTGCAATGTCCCGTAGAAGAAGTGGCAATTCACGAGGGAAAGTGTAAAATACAGCATAATTGAAGGTAAACACAGTTTCGGTAATTACTAGATAAATCAGCCCTTGCATATTTTGAATGCCTCTTTGGTCCAAATCTTCAGCTACTGCTATGTATGGAGTAGCAAGTAAAATACCTATAAACTTGTAAATTATTATTATTATTTATTATTTACATTAAAAATAAATATGAATTTACAGTGACAAAATATTTAAGTATAGGTTCATTCTTACCATGTAGAGTAGAAATCTGATAATAAGCACAGATACATTTCTTTTGTAATCAATATAAATTCTCCAAGTTAACCATTCCAATTGAGTAAGACATCGAACTTTTTTAAATTCAAGTGTTGATACATAATTTTCAAGAAAAGATGGATGAATTATTTCTGTATTTGAGGCACTTGAACACGAGTTCTCTATCAATTTTGCGACATTTTTTCCGTATTCTGATTTTTCAAATTCATCACAAATCCAGGATGCCTAATTTAGAAGAATTTTTAAAAAATGATAATTTTTATTTTATTTCAGAAAATACAGGAATTTACTAAACAAATATATAAGTAATGTGATGTACAATAATTGCTAATTATTATCAATACAACAAAATAAAAATATATTTGATCTCTCTTTTCAATTAAAAAAAAACATTTATTATAAGATGTAAATTAATAATTTTAATAATTACAATCCATCTCAAAACTTTTTTTACCTTCTTGTAACTGTCCTCTTCGTCACCACATTTTACAGACAGTTGAGATAGAAAAAAATCGGCACTATTAAATGTTGGTGGACAATGCAAATCTAAACTAGAAAGAAGACGATAAAATGATATTTTATTATTTTTGATAGAAATTCTGTACTAAAAAATTTATTACTCGCATAAAAATTCAAAGAAGAAAAAAATGGGTTTTGATAATATTATATGAGCGATTCTCAATAAAGAAGTCACGTTCATGTTTTCGATTTATATCAACTAAACAATTTTCCATTGAAAGAAATATCCATTAAATATAGTCGATGTAATTTAAAAAGATTCATAAAGAAGTATTTTATTTAAAATATAATTTTTAATAAAAAAATTTCTTTGATAGGTAGAAATATTTTTTTAATTAAAAAAAATTTTCTTTTAATTCAAGTAATTTTTGAAAAAAAGAAAAATAAGAATTTTTTTTTGATTTATTAAAGAAAAGCAAAGAAAAAAGTTAATAAAAATAATTCTAAGGCAAAGTATAGTTTTGAATATAATTGCAAATTTTTGTATACGATGAATTATTAATTATACTGTTAAATTAGAATAATTGTCAACGAATAGAGGATAAATTATCAATTCAAATTCAATTTATCAATTCAATTCAAATTATCAAATTCAGGTAAAAAGCATAACCTTAAGGGCGCACTCACACCTTTTGGCTGCCTGCCTGCCTGCAGGAGTTGTCATGGCAACGTGAAGGAGTAACAGAGATAGTAAATTCAAATTTGAATTTTCTCTCTCTGTTACTCCTACACGTTGCCATGACAACTCCTGCAGGCAGGCAGGCAGCCAAAAGGTGTGAGTGCGCCCTAATAAGGGACCAGTGAAATTTTAATACATTATTGTTTTAAATTGTTAATTTTTTTCTGCCAATATTGTGAAAAAAAAAATTTGTAAAATAGTTGAAAATCACTTTTTAAAAATTTTTTATAGTGAAATGTGATTTCAGGTTCTGAAAAAAAGCAAAAAAAAAATTGTTTACCCCTAAACTAGGTTAATTTTGACTGGTGATTCTTTAAAAATTCAACTTCTTCCACAATTTTGATTATTTTTTATACGCATTTTTCATGATTTTAAACAATCAATCGTATGGATTTTAAAAAATAAAATTTCAAAAATGGACAAAAATAATTTTCTCTTAATTTTAATAATATATAATAATTTTAGATACTAAATAATACAAAAAAAAAAATTTACACCACTTAACAACATTAATTTTGATAGATTGAAATTTAACTGTTCTTTAACTCTTCTTTATAAAAAATACGAAAAATAAATCAAAAATAAGATTTTTATTTCACAGTGTTAATCTCCAAGAATAATTTCTACCTCAATAAACTCTACTTATGATTAAATCATAAAAAATGCGAATATTATTCGGCTTTTTCTTTATAATTTACGTTCAAAATTGTGCAACGCATAACAAATGGTTTCAAAATTTGATCAATTACATTCAACTTGATTCAAGGAAATACCAAGTATTCCTAATTGCCGACAATTAGATTTCTCCCGGTTTTAAAATACATTTTTTCTGTACACAAATCTATTATATTTATGTAATATGCAATTGTAAAAAATAATGAACACCAAAAGCACTCTATGGAAATTTATAAAATTTAAGTTTTATGACGTACATTGAAATAAAATATAACAAATTTTATTAAGTATAGTAGACATTTTTCAATTTAGGGAAAACGTGTAAAAATGGGAAATATTGATACAAAAAATAATATACTTCTGAAAATATTTTTCAGTCTTTAAGAAATGTATTTCAAATTTTAGTAAATATTTACGAACTTCAACATAATTTATAGTAATCAAACAAAATCTTTACTGAGATTTAATATATTTTATATCATTTTTTTCCTGTTTGACACATTTTCCCTAAATTGAAAAGTATTTACGAAATTTTGTTATATATTTTCTTTCAGTGTAGAATTAAAAAATTTTGTATTGTGAGAAATAAAAGTAGCTAATTTTTGTTGATGGTATATGAGTAATTTCACGTGAGATTGAGAGGTCTATCCTCTAATTATTTCTTCTATACTACGTTTGTGGGTAGAGGTTATGGGTCTAATTGAGTACCTAAATAAAATTTTGAAAAATATATTTATTATTTTTCGTGATATTTGCATTAAAAAATTAGTGCAACTTTTTTTTCAATAACTCATAACTTTTTCACTTTTACTCCATGAAAAAAGTTTTCTAAACGTTTTTTACTCAGACAATATTGAAGTTTAAGAAAAAAAATTAATTTTGAAAAATTAAAATTTTTTAATTTATTTATTTAAAAAATAAAATTTGTTTTTAATTTTTAAACTTATTATCGGGCTCCGTTTACTTAGCGGGGGTTTCCTACCTTCTCGGCACGGTATTTTTCAGTCTTTCTCTAAATAACATTTTATAATTAATTTTCGATTTTTAGTTATACTTATAATATTCTTCTTTTGACACAGAATTAGATTAGACGTAGTATAGAAGGAATCTGAGGATAGACCCTTTTAATCTCACGTGGAATTGCTCATATATTTTACATAATTAATACGAAATTTTAGATGGTTAAAAGTTGAACAATTTTCGAATAATTGCGCGAATCACAAAACCCATAAAATCTCCCGAATTAATTTTTCAGTCCCGGTTTTCTCCCGATTCAAATTTCTCTGGCTGGCCACCTTGAATTGATTCTTTGATTCGCTTGTCAGATGGTCGAACAAGACCAAAATGTTTAATTATTTTTCCCACTGAGCAAAAAGAATTTTCATACAAGAAATTATTACGTAAAATGTGGAGTCAACAAATATTGGATGCCACTATTCTTAAAATAGACGAGAAATCATTTGTAGGCAAATATTTTACCAAGGGATCAAAATCAATCAAGATATTGCGACAATTATTCAGTATAATCCATTTTTAAAGGGTGAAAAATTTAATAACCTGAGACTATTACCAAAAACTTTATGGTTTCCAGATAAACTTAAAAATTTACATAAATGGCAATCAGTCCGATGGATTATCGAAAATGCTGAAGAACAATAAATTGAATCTCATTGCGAATAGTCTTTTCGGAGCAGAATCTAATTTTCGCAATAAATTTGAATTTAGTCGAGAAATTGATCGAGTTGGCATTCAGGCGATTGTTCCAATTCAAAAGAACAAGATCTCTTATTTGATTATTACTAAAGAAATGTCAACATGTTTAACGATATGTGTGACCTTAATTTTTTCTCTGCTGTTATTGGCAAGAATTTTCAAATTGGAGAATCATGTATGGTAACCTCTTGTTGTCAAAACAACTTATTGGTCGGATAATGTTTGCCTCGATGTTAATTATATCGATGATTCTATCAATGAGTATCTATGAGGCATGTAATGATATTACTATTCACTATGAAATCGAGAAAGAAATGAATACCCTCGATGATTTGATTGAATCAGGTTTAAAATAAAAAAAATCGAAAGAATTGAAAAATGTTATATTTAATAATAGTATAGGGTCATCGTCACTTTATACAGTTTTAAAAAATACCGATGAATCGATACAGAATGAGCAACTTGATTGTCTTGAGGAGTTGGCAAATTATAGAAATGTTTGTTGTATTGTTTACACATATACAACAAAGTATGCTCTCGAAAAATATAATGATAAATCAGGTCAACCGATTATGAAAGTTATACCGGAAATGTTATGCGAGTTGTGGTTCTACATGCTGTTTAAAGGAGGATTACTGTATATACCAGGATTTGATCGTCTTTTTCAGCGAATGTATCAATCTGGAATTCGAAGTGAATTCAAGGAAAAGCCAAAATTTTTGTATGCTCAAAACACTTATCAAATGAAAATCAATATGAAATGAAAGAAGTTTGTGAGCTACTGCGATTTTTTTTTCTCGTATTTCTTGTTTTTGATAGCTTGACAATATTGGCAGTTTTTTCCTCGAGTATTTTATGACGAGAAGAAATTTTTTCAATTAAAAAAAAAAGGACATTTCGAACCTGTTCTCTTACAAAATACTATTTTGTTAAAAAAATATATCACTCAAAAATGGTACGTTTCAATAAAGCTGGCAGTATCTTTGATATGATGTGATTAAAAATTTGGTTAAATCTGTAACTGAAATTTAAAACAAAATTTTTAATAGAAAATATTAGAGAACCTTTCAAAAAATGTAGTGGCATCGGCTGAATTTCCCTGGAAAGCAACTCTTCCAGTGGAAAGTAAAAGCACCTGATGAAAAAGATCAAGGATTCCTGAAGCTGGCTGATGAATAGAGCAAATTACAATCTTTCCTCTTTCTGCGACTTCTCTTAATGTTTTAACAACTGTCATTGCTGCATAACTATCCAATCCACTTGTTGGTTCGTCGCAAAAAAGAATTCTTGGTTCTGTTAGTAACTAAAGAAAAAAAAACATGAAATAAGAATAAAAAAAATATCTTTTTTTTATTGAAATGTTTAAAAAACAGTTCAGTTTGATCTTTCGAATGAAATTTTGATAAAAAAAAAGGTTAACCATTTTTTTCGGAATGAAGACAAAACTTCCAATTCTTAAAAGGGCTCAAGTTATTATTTTCTCAAAGAACATTTTTTCAAACATTTTTTTTTTCAAAAACTTATTTTCTTTTATTTTTCAAATTTTAAAAGTGCAACTTTAAGTCTAGAAACATTAATTTGTTGTTATTTTCAACATTGATACTCAACAGTAAACAGTAATTAAATAAATAATAAATATACTTCGGGACTTTTAGGGCTTTGAAAATTTTGTACTGTGGAAAAATAAATTTTGGTACATTTAAATTTGGAACTTTTGGTTTGCAATTTTTGTTATGGAACTCATGCACTCCAATACTTTTTTAATTATTTCAACATGTGTTTACTGCATTTATTACTGAAAATTGCTGTATAATTATTTTGAATTATTTCAAAGAAAATTGTTATTTTTCTTTTCATTTTGAAAAAATAAAATCTATTATGTAAATATCAGTTAATAAATTCCTTTTTTACAATTATTTTCTAATGATTTTAAATGATTATAAAACTTTAAAGTAAAAATTCCTTTCAAGTGTTTTCTCTGTTATTTATTTTACCTTTAGCAAATAGCTTTCTGTCAATACCTGAACTGCTAGGGAAACCCTTTTTCTTTCCCCTCCTGATAAAGCTGAAAGTCTAGAATTGCGACACTTCACCAACCCTAAATCCGTTAGAAGAACAGTGATTCGTTGTTTTCTCAAAAAAGTTTTGAATCTTCTGTCCATTTTCATTCTTGCCTAATGATAAAAAAAAAAAATGTTAATCAAAACTAAGCCTTAAATATTTATATTGTATTAATTATTACGATACCATGAATTCCATGTGCTCTTGAACTGTTAATGTTTCAATGGATAAATCTTCTTGAGGAACAAATCCAGATATTCTCGCCATTATTTCCTGATCAACTGGCTGTCCATTCAGAAATACATCACCAACAGTTTCATCTGATTTTATTAAAAAAAAAAAAATTTCAAAATTACTTTCAGAATATAATTTCATAAATAAATAAATAAGAGGTATGCGCGAATATTCTCTATTATATATATCATTTATGTTACATTTGTAAAACTTTGTAATAAGTACATAATGGAGAAAATAAATATAGAAGAATATAAAAAAATATTTAACGTTACATAAATATTTTCAGATTATAAAATTATCTCGAAAATTATCTATATAAGAGGAGCAAATTAACAAAAATTAATAAATAAATAATAAATAAATAAAAAAATTTTCAAAAATGGATTTATCAAGTTTGTTAAATTAATTAATTCAAAAATTAATAATAATTAAGATTAAAAATTTTAAATATACCAAAATAAATAAAGTAGGTATCTTAATAGTTTTTTATTTAATATAAAATTTTCTATTTTAAATGTGCTATATATTTAATAACTTCTTATTTGATACATTAATATTTATTTGAACGATCACATGTAAGTTGGTAAGGAGATATTTGATCTGATGTAATTTCAGCTCTAAGAAATTGCAGCTCTCTTAATACTTCACTGAACGAATGACAATAATAATTATTAAACTACTTTTAACAGAAAACAGGTATATTATTTTTGTTAGTATAAAGAATTTAATATTTTTTAAAACTCACCTTTTATCTTTCTACTTATTGTAGCGAGAAGAGTCGTTTTTCCTGCACCACTAAAATTAAAAATTAATAATTTCTATTGCATCCTTAAAAATATTATTTAAAGTTTTAATTTTTTATTATTATTAAAAGAATTAAAAAAATTAATTAATTACCTTGGACCCATTATTGCCATAAGTTCCCCAGATTTGACAATTCCATTTACTGAAAAATTTTAAAAGAGAAATTGGAGAATTCATATAATTTAGTTATTAATTATTTTAAAGAATAACTTGACAAGAAAAAAATATGCCAAATACCCCCTTGAAGAACTTGAGTATATTCGTAATTATTATTGCCAAAAAAAACTTTTAGGTAATAATTATTGTCACTGTTTTTTGTTTTAACTTCATAAGAAATATCTCGCCATGTTAATATCAAGTCTTTCGTTGGATAGAGAACAATATCTGGTGTTGAAGAGGTTTTAATCTAAAAAAAAAAATTTTTTATTTTAATATTAGAATTAAATAAAAATATATTTGTCTCAGAGCTATTTATTTGAAATAAATAAATATTAATTTATAGCTCCGAGAGAAATATATTTTTCTCCTGAATTATTATTGAATATAGAAGGTATACATTCAATAGTCGAAGAAGAAAGTTTACTTGTATAGAACATGGTTATTGAATTACATGCAAAAAAATATATATGTAACAAAACGAGATAATTCTCCCATAGGATTATTTATCCATAGATAATTCTCCATAACTCTCAGTTAATATAATATTTATTTTTAATGAAAAGTAAAAATAAATATAATTTTCGTAAAGAAAAATAGTCAATGCTCACCTTCGTATTTTCGAAGAATATCATAATGCAAAAGAGTTTTTAATTATGAGTTTAGAAAAATACGAATTTTCAAATCAATGAAATTAAAATATTTCACATTATAAACACTATTAATTGAAGAAATAAAATTATATTTTTTACTACTGTATAGAAATAAAATATCTGATATTGTAAAACTGATATTTAACGTACATTTATAGTTTCATTATGCAAAAATTGACTTTAGTTCTTTAAAATAAAAAGAAAATTTAAAAACACACAATTTATGTTTCACTATCACTGAATTAAAATTTTGAATTCAAAAAAATATATGTACATTTACATAATATCGAATATAATATAAAAAAAATTAAATAATATAACTTTCACACTATGGTAACGCTTTGGGGTAAATAAAGGGAATGCTTATGAGTGAGACAACTTTCCACGTCGCGTCTCTAACCATGTATGTGGTTTGCGGGGGAAGACCTTCTTTTACACCTTCGAACAGATCATTACAAAAATAAAAAATTCCTTATAATATCTTCTGTCGAAGAAAATTATGTGTCTCAAGTAATTATTCAATTAACAAAATTGAAAATAAAACTATATTTCTGTATTTTTGTTTAATTTTTTTTAAATCAAAAACTACTAAGTATTTATCTATTTTGATTTAATATAATTAACAATATACTCTCTAAATCTGAATAAGTGAAATTTCACTTAAAATATGTCAAAAGTCTTCCAAGTAAAAAAATTAAGTGTATATGCACTTAAAAATAAGTGAAACTTCACTTATTTTTGAGTGAAAACCACTTATTTAAAAGTGCATATACACTTATTTTTCTACGTGGAAGACTTTTGACACATTTTAAGTGAAATTTCACTTATTCAGATTTAGAGAGTACCTAATTAATTAGTAAGTTTTAATTTATTTTATTTTCAAAAAATTTTATAATTAATTTTTAATAGTATTTTACGCACAGAAAATGATGTGAGGTATTACATAAACTAAGATTTAAAAGCTCTTATTTTAATTCAATTTCACTTTAAAATAATATCGTTGTATATATTCACAATTTTTTTTCTTCATTGTTAAAAGATAAAGTATCTAAACTTGCAGCAATATAACTCTGAAAATATTGAATTAAACAATTATTATTATTGCCAAGGAAAGAAAAGTTTCTGTTTTCTTTCGACTTGTAAATAATAACTAAAAAATAATTTTTGTTATTTTTTATAAACAAATTAATTTTTTTTTTAATTTTGATATTTTATTAAATTGCAACAAAATTTAATTATTGCAATTTTTATTAAAAAAATAATAATTTTTTATAAATAAATCAATTTTATCTTAATTTCGGTATTTTTTGGAATTTATTTTTTTATTACATACTTAGAAATAATAAGAATAGTTTGCAATAAAGTTTAGAGTGGGTCTGGTGAACCATTTGTTTAATCAATTTGTTTAAAAAAAATTTATTTCTTTCTTCTATTTTTGAAATCAAAATATATTTTAATTAGCTTTTCTATGAGTAAAAAATCCTGGTGACCAAAAAAATTTTCGTTTAAAAAAATAGAAAAATAGAGTTAACAATTTTTTTCAATTAAATTATTTAAACAAAAAAGTTCATCAGGTTCACTGTAAAACTTTTTATAAACCATTTTTTATTATTTCTATAGATAATTATGTAATTAGAAGAAAAAAAAATTGAAAAAATGCCTAAATTAAAAAAAAATTGTAAAAATTGCTGAATTTAATATTTTTAGAGTTATATGTCATTAAAAATATGTCTACATTGAAAAAACCAAAATTTTGAAAATTCATAACTCAAAAAGTAGGGCCCTTATAAAAAAATACCTTTTTTCTGTAAAAAAAGAAAAAAAAATATTTAATCCAATTTGTTATTTCGACTTGATTCTGATAAGGAATTGTCCATATATTCGTAATTTTTAAATATTTGTGACTTTTTCTAGAAATTTCATTAAAAAATAATCTCGATTTTCTTTAATATTTCTTCAAGTCAAGGATTTGTCTTCTTCCCTGACATTAAATAAAAAAAATGTGTATTATATTCAATTGATTTTACAAGCAGCATTTATTATTTTTTTAAAAAATTAATTATTATAACTTTGCTTGATTAGGAAGTTAATTGTTCTCTGATAAAAGAAACAAATTCATATTTTCCGCCGTTATGACATGTTCCTCCATCTGACAGCAAACTGGAAAACTATTTAGTAGATAACTTATACGTAGATATTTCATATTCGTCACTTTTGTGAAAAAATTTGTTCCCTTAGAACGTTCGATTTTTGGAAATTAACAATGCAGCGAGTACCATGTATTATTTCGAGAAATATGGCATTTTTAAGGTAAATTATATTTACTATTATTTTGAGAATGAAGATTTTTTCTTATTCACTGTGAGTTTTCTGTTTTACGTTGAAATCCGGCTTTTCTCTACTCCTGATGTCGGTATATTTCGCAGTTACTCCAAACGAGTCATCATTTTATTTTACACATTGTTACTTGTAGTTTTGTTTATTCATTTGTTTGTTCGTATATACTTGTTTTTTATATCTACAATTGATTGAAATTAATTTTACAATCTTACTCTCCAAAATTTAACCCAATTTTCTCTCAACTTCTTCAACTTTGTACCTGAAAATTATCACAATAATTATATAATTCTTGAAGTAACACGACAATGTTTAACCTCACAAATTTTACAACTTTATAAATAATTGCATAATTAACATTTTTTCAAATTTCTAATTTCAAAGATAGAATAAAACATTTTTAATTCGTGAAATTTTTCATTCATTAGCTAAATCATTTTTTAGAAAAGGTCATATTAAATCGCATTTTAGTAAAACTGCGTAAAAAATTAAATTATTTATTATTTATAAATTTTTTATAAAAATAATACAAAAACGTATTGTCTAAAAAGTTATGTCTCAAATAAAATATTTAGGCCTCAACTAAAAAATTTACAATGAAATTATGCGTTTTAATTACAGAAACACGTAAGATTTATTAAATCGTCAAAAATATTAAAATTTAATTGTCATTAGTTAAAATATTTTTCTAAACCTTTTTAACTCACTATCTTTAAAGGACATAATTTATGCCATTAAATTTTGCATATTATTGTATGCTGATGAGTTGAAATTATTCCTTTCTTTAACAACTATACTCTCTTGATGGTAAATTGCTCCAGTAGGATGGATTTGAATACGTAATGTGGAAACTTGGAATGTTACTTTTCACAGCATACTGTGTTTTTCACACTAGGAACATGAAAATAACTAAAACTTGCTTTCCTATATAGTAATGTAAAAATAATAATTAAATTCAAAATAATCGAAAAGTTAAATATTAATTATTTTAATTATACTTTTATATTACGTAAAAACTAATTGAATTAAAGATTCTTTTTTTCAATATTTTTAAAAATTGTTAACAATATTTTTTTATTATTCCCTTACACTCAAAATCTATATAATATTAATTAATGTTTTGTTGTGTTAAGAGGTCCTTTAAAACGTAGAATTTTTCTGAAAATTTTATTTCAGTGTTTATTTAGATTGATTATAATTTTATTTAAGTAACTAATTTACCTTTTCACTTATAGTTTCAAAAATGAATTACTAAAACAATATTAATGAAAAATTATTAAATTGTATAATAATAATATTAATAAAAATTTTTAGTAAGGCCAGAATGTCCGGTGAGCCGGGATCTGGTGCCGGAAGAGGAGGCGGTGGTGGTGGTTCCATTCGCGAAGCTGGTGGAGCTTTTGGTAAAATGGAAGCCGCTAGAGAAGACCAGTACTTTTATAATCAGGTAATAATTACCAGATTTATGACTAATTGTTAATTAACATTTATAAAGAGATTCTAAGATTGTCATCCTTCCAAAGAAATTAATAAATAAATTGTAATAATTTCTAAAATTATTACAATGAAAAAGATAATTTTTTTTTGGTAAATGTTACAATATCCATTTTGATTATTATTGAAAATAAAGACTTGAGAATATTATTATGATTTATTAAACATATATTATTTCGAATTTTCAGCAAAAGAAACAGTTAAAGGAATTACGTGATGGCCTTCATGACGAGATTTCCTTCCATGAGGAACAAATTAAACGTCATCAGGAAGCAATCAGTCGTCACAAAAATAGAATTTCCGATATGGAGCATAAATGAACAACTTAATTTGAACAAATAGAATTGAAAAATTCTATAAACTCGTCTCGTAAACAGAATCATCCTTGAGATATTGCAGAAAGTAATCATTGTAGAAATTTAATTTGAATTCTTTTTTTTTATTATTAATTCAGTCTGTTAAAAATCATAAATAAATACCTCGTTTTTACTGTTTATCACGCTTATTTGTATTTAGAAAAAAACCGCATTTGCTTTTTATAGATAAATTCGAATTAACACACTTTCAGTGCGAATTGCGTGCGAAAAAGTACTAACATAGTAATATACCAGCAAAGTACGTACTTACTTTGTTTTCTGATTCATTTTGAAGAGAGAAATAAACTTTATGAAAGACTTGATGCTATTTCCATTATCATTTGACATAACGACCTGTTTTTTTATATAAGTTATTTAAAGGAAAATCGGATAAAATAGAAACAAAAGTTAGTTTAACTTCATATTTTTAAATAAAAAAAACTAATTTAGACTTTAAAAGTGTTTTAGTGCAAGTGCGTAAATAATTTAATTTTTAATAAATTGAAAAAAATAAAATGAAAGTTGACAATAGGAAATAATTTAGGCAATGAAACTTAAAATTTAACATTTACTGAAAAACTGTTTATATAAAATTATTTTTTTATTCGAAAATGTGAAGTTGGACTAATTTTTGTTTTGATTGTCTGTACGCATTTTCCTTATACTTAAAGTAAACATTTTTTTTATTACTAATTCATTACAGATATTAATTTATATATATACTGAATAAAAGAGTTAAAATAAAAACTATTTTTTCTATACCTACCACACTTCTCAATATTTAAAAAAATATAACTTTTTATTAATTGTATAATTAATATGGATACTATTTTGAGAAAGAAAAATTATAAAAAAAGAGTACTCAAAATTTTTATAAATACTTTTTAAAAGCCTATTTTTAATAATAGCAATTTATAAGTACTTACATATATAAATAATTTTCTCATGCATTAATATTTTTATATGAAGGTTATGTTGAAAGATTAATTGTTCCATCCTACTTTGTAGTTCCATATTCTTTTTTTAATGATAAAAAAATAAAATGAATATTTACTTGAGATAATTATGTAATTATTAAATACATTTCTTGATTTATTTTAAAAAGAAAATAAAAAAATTTTCGATTTTCAAACTTTCTTGAAATTGTCAATTTCAAAATGTAAACAAATACTATTTTATCATTTGATTTATACCGACGGAACAGATAGAGAAAATATAAAAATACGGTAGATGGCACTAATGTTTCAAGATGGCGGTCTTTTAGAGACCAGTGTCTCGCGATTCATCGATCAGTGTAGAGTGTTCGTATTGTTGCTCCGTGGTTTTTGGTGGATTTTCTACCGGGCCGCGGGTCTTTAATTGGTTTTAATCGTTAATAGTGGGACCTGCAAGGCTCGAAAGGGCCCAACACAAAAGGATTCAATATGCAACCAAGGATATATTGGGTTTTAGCGAGCGCATTTGTGATCCTCGCAGGATGCAACGCCGCTACTGAGGTGAGTAACAGTGCTACAAGCACAACTCTCTACTACTGTCACATCTTTTTTTTCTTTTTTTTGTCACCTGTGTTCTTCTGTCAAAATAGTTTTTAAAATCCTACTATTACAAGGAGAATCGATTAAAATTTCAATTAAACAAGCGAATTACGTTATTATTTTCAATTTCTTTTTCTTCTTATTACAAAAGAAACAAACCGGGTGCGTCTCTCTTTCGTTTTGCTCCATTTGCTTCTTCTCGGTAGTATATAGAGAGTCAGGATCTTGATATTTTATCTCGAGTCTCCATTTCCTTTTTGGACTGGAGGTTCGGGTTTTTCAATATAAATAAATATAACAGTATCGAAATATGTACATCTTGCGGTCTTTTTTGAAAGGATTCAAAATGCTTTGGAGCAGCAGGTGAATATGTACGTGAAAAAGAGGTTATCGTAAGAATGAAAGGTTATATCCCCACATCACTCTCAACAAACTCCATTACTTATGCTGTTATTTATTAAAATTCTCTGAAGTACATTTCTCTCCTTCAGAAAAGTGATTTCAAATTGTCCATGCAATTCGCAGAATTCATGACAAGAGTTTCTTTACTTATGTCAATTAATAGAAAATGCATTGTCTAGTCCATTAAAATTGATCAAAATTCTTTCGAGTCAATCTGATTGTCAAACCGGTTTTTAATGTCTAAAAATAATATTTATCCGAACAATGTATTTAGGGCAAGCATGATTCACTGTCCCTTTAAAATTCAAAAATACCTTCAAGATTTTTAAACAAACTATATGTTGAAATAGAATGATTTCACCTACATAATGAATATATTAATGTAATCTTAATAATAATTATATAAATTTATTAAATAATATTTTATTGTATTAATAAAAATTTATAGAGATATAAATATTTGATATATTTGTAAAATAGCAAATCATGGATTGTTTCATATCCTTTGTTACATATTACTAAATCTTGAGAAATAAATTTCAATTTAAAGCAGAAATTGTCATATATATTTACGGAAATACATAAAAAAAATTCCATGTAAAGAGCTAAGCAAATAAAAAAAATAATTTCTAATGCAAAGTCAAGGTTGAGAGGGAAGATTCTTCCTATTTAAAATTCTCCTAATGTTAACTTTAAGTCAACAAAAAAATTTTTTTAAACACTTTAGTAATTAATTCAACCTTTTTAAAATGGCATTCGTTGAACGAATGAAGTTTCCTTTTGTACCGTGGAATGTCATTCATGTAGCACGAGACTTTGCAATTGTTCTGAGGTACAATGACCTTATTATTAGGAAAACTAAAGGAAACTCTTGACAAACAGTTGCCTTTGAAAAGAGTAGGTGTGATCAACGTCTCTTTTTCTTTTTCTCAAAAAAAAAAAAAAAAAAAAAAAAAAGTAAAAAGGAAAAAAAAATGTAGATACAAAAACCAAGGTGAAGGAGAAATAAAGAAAAAAAATTTTTATTCAAGTAAATAAAGAAAATTTATTTTTTTAATTATTTCGTAATATTATACATATTTTATTTAATTTAAAATTATATTTTAATTGAACCGTCTACTGAAAGAATATTAGGGTCAAAGTTTTATTCAATGAAGCAGCGGCTTATATGGAAAACTTTTAGAAAGGGGGATTTAACTTTTTTGTGTGTATCGCTGGTTAGGAAGTTTGACTGCAGTTGAAAGGGAATTACAAGGAGGCAAACATAAAATTTAGTTTTTATGCTGTTAAGATAAATAAAATATATATTTTGTTGTCGCTGAAATTGCGATAAATGTTTACTTTCTTCTCTAAATGTATTTTTAATGTTTTTTTTAGCCTTTTTTAAATTTTAGTTCTTTTTGGAAAAAAAATTGAGATCAAATCAATATGAATTTTGTATAATAATCACAATTTAAGAATGCAAAATTTATAATAGAAATATTATTATTATTATTATGCTCAATAACATTGAATAAAAATAGAAATATTTTAAAGTATTTAAGTTTCTTAGATTTATAATATAATTATAATATTGTTTTCAATTTTTAATTTCACCAATTTAACAATTAATTTTATTATTTTTTTCTTATCAGATAATTTTTGAACCTTATTAATTTATTCAAAATTATTGAAAAAACAATTTAAATAAATTATAAACTTCATAATAGTGCATCAAAAGAGTAAAAACAGATGAACGTATATTTAGTTTTGCATTATCACAAACAAGATTTGCCATTGGCAGTTTTTATCAAAGCCATCATCATAATATTGATTATCTGCTTAATGGATAAGAATCGATGCATTATGAATCTCGTAACTTGATGTATAAAAGAATAACTAACAGGAAATTTATATTATACCAATAGCACTTTTTGACTTGCTAGATTAAAAAAAAAATTAATATAATATAATGGCAGCTTTCACTAATCTCGATAAATATTGCTTTAAATTTTTCAAAAATTTATTAATTATGTTAATATATATTTCAGTAAATATTTCATTTTATAAATTGTTTTTTATACAAAATTAAATTTCACAATTTTTAAAAGACTATAAAAATTTCAATTACCTCAAGGGGTTTCCTTATAATAAAATATACATGAAGCTGAAGCTGTAAGCTAAAGCTATATACATATATATGAGTAGATTATTATTATTGTTGAAATATTATGATTTATAGTTGTATAATTGTTAATTCAGTTATTTCACAGGGGAATTTTGTTTCTTGTGCTTTAAAAAAAGGTTGAATGTTTTATTTTTCAAAAAGCATCATTGTGTATAAATTTTCTATCACGAACCTAATTTCGTGCTTAATTTCATTACAATCTGTTCTCTAGGTTAATCATTGTACGCTCCGAACGATCAGTTTGCTTATTGCCAACCCAAATTACATTCGATTAACTCTCTCATGATTCCTTTTCCAAATTGCACTCTCTAATTTGTACGTTTCATTTTTCGATTAAAAGAAAAGAAAAATTTTGAATTATCGTTCTGCATTTTTAAAAATACATTCATTGAATTTTAAAATTTTAATTTTTTAAATTTATTATATGTTTTAAGTTGTAGAACATAAATTTTATTTCTAATTTAGTTATTTATTATTTAATTTATTCGTCAAGTTTTCAATCCAAATAGATTTTATTTTTATAATTTTTATAAATAAAAATAAAATTTTGATTAAATTCAATTATTTGCTCTATTGATTTACATTTATCTGTGAAATGAATTTAACAATACAATTTTCAATCAAATGTTCAATACAAAATTAAATCTTATTATTATTATAAATTTTGTTTCAAAAATAAAATATATTTATAGATGTTTTAAAGATTCAATATTTTTTTTATTTGAATCTGATTTATTTCATTTAAATAAAATTTATTTTTACTCATGTAACATTTTTAAAAAGTTTATTCTAAAGGTACTTCGTTTTTTAATACATATTTAAATGATAAATTTAATAATAATAGCAAGTATTTATATTTTTATCAAAGCTAATAATGTTTTTGAATTAAAAAGTAAAACTATCCAACAATTCATGTTTTTTTTAAATTGTTGAATTGTAAAAAGTCAATAATTTCGTAATAAAGTTTGAATAACTTTTTTAACAATAGGTATATTAGAACTTATAGAAAAATTTTTAAACTAAAATTATCCAAA